TTTCACCTGGCCCAACTCAACATTTTGGTAGTACATGTAGTGGAAAGATTTCCATATGCGAAGTTCACTCAACACCCTGTGTACAAACCCTATGAGATTGGACTGAAAAATTCTAAGTGTTTTCTAAGAAAATGCTTGTATTTTCTCACTGCTCAAATTGACTTTGATGACATGAAATTGCTATCTGGGAGCTTGTTAGTCAATACAGAGGAAAATTAGTGAACTTCTTATATGGAAATCTTTCCCATGTAGTCCTAAGGGCCTTTCAAACTAGCCGAACACACAGATTTTGGACTTCAGAAACCCTTTTCACACCAGCAAGTTTCCAACACGGCTTCGACACGGGTCCGGTGCTCTATGTACCTCTACTCAGGTAAAATCCAACCCTGCTCCTACCCTGCTCCAGATCAGCATTGGATTTTGTAATTAATGCCAACATTATAAACAGCCCTATAAAAACAGATTTCATTATTTTTTTTAAATTTCATTGGGTTTTTTTCTATTTTTTTCTAAAATAATTTTAATTTGTTATTACACACATGTGTACAGTATTTTTCAAGGGAATAAAATTTAAAAACAGCAAAATAATAAAAAAAATCTGCACACTTAACACATTAGAAAAACAACAACTAGCCTTTTGATACATGTATGTATACCGGTAGGCCTACCGGTACATTTGTATGTACAAATCAGCTTGAAAAATTACATCATGTTAGTCAATACCATCATAAAAAGTGTTGGCCTTAACTTGTACTTTTTGTTGCACACAAACATCGCTGGGCAGACACCATGCTATCTCATTACTGTTAATAATTAATGTTGACTGAAATATATGTATGCTGGGTCAATATTGACATAGTATTTTAATATTCAACCCAGTTCGAGTTAGGCTGTGCCTTACACTACACGCGCAGACGCTTTCACAAACATCAGTGTTTGTGTGCTGTGCGAGACGCTTCAATTTTAGCAACACACCCTAGTACCCTTCCAAGCTGCCAAGCAGGTGATGTTAAACTATGCCCCAACACCCTCTGCAGGCCCGTTTTGCTAGAAACCACCCTCAATCCTCCAAAATCCTCCAAAATGTTGAACAATGTTCAAATAAAGGATACCCATTTCCGCAATCCTACACAATCCTCCAACGGCCCAGCCTCTCAAAGTGCATTCAGCCTCAATCCTCCAAAATCCTCCTCTTCTTCAAACACCATTCATCCTCAATCCTCCAAAATCCTGAATGTTTCTCAAACACCATTCATCCTCAATCCTTCAAAATCCTTGTGTTTCTCAAACACCATTCATCCTCAATCCTCCAAAAACCTCCTCTTCTTCAAACGCCATTCATCCTCAATCCTCCCAAATCCTCTTCTTAAAACACTATTCATCCTCAATCCTCCAAAATCCTCATGTTTCTCAAACACCACTCATCCTCAATCCTTCGAAATCCTTGTGTTTCTCAAACACCACTCATCCTCAATCCTTCAAAATCCTTGTGTTTCTCAAACACCACTCATCCTCAATCCTTCAAAATCCTTGTGTTTCTCAAACACCATTCATCCTCAATCCTCCAAAAACCTCCTCTTCTTCAAACACCATTCATCCTCAATCCTCCAAAATCCTCATGTTTCTCAAACACCACTCATCCTCAATCCTTCAAAATCCTTGTGTTTCTCAAACACCACTCATCCTCAATCCTTCAAAATCCTTGTGTTTCTCAAACACCATTCATCCTCAATCCTCCAAAATCAACCGACACTGAACGTCCATACATGTATGTGCCCTCAATCCTCCACGATCCTCCAAAATTTGTCGCATTCATCCTCAATCCTCCAAAACTGCCCAGCGGACTTTGGAGGATTGGGGAGGGTTACAGTTAGCTAATGGTGCGTGTATCCATACGTGTGTACGTTTTTGTGTCTTATTTAGAATTCAGTTTCCACGTGAGACGAAACAACTACACTATCTCGCATTTAAAAAAAAAAATTGCCTACGGTAGGTCCCTATTTAACACAGATTTTTCAAGAGTAAAATGTGGACGTCGTACGCATGTTTAAATCTAAAACCTTACCGTCCTTTCATTCTCCATTGTTGTCTGGCCTTGCGCGTCAAATGAAGCGTAGAATGACAAAGCGTGACATCATTGTGGTGAAAAAACGCACAAGAAAGAAACCTTCGCTACGCATCCATTTGCACATATATCACGCTTGACTTGGCCATATGTTGACGATTTGAAATGGAATATCCCAAAGCGTAATCACTTTTAAGGTCACTTTATGATTATTTTTTTGGCCTCTAATTTCCTGATCTGGACGGCTCATTAGACGTGTAAGAATCAGATCATACAAATCTGGCAACTATTTAGGTGGTGATTCACCTTGGCAGGTTGCAATAATTTGAGGCAAATCCACAGTTCATTTTAAAAATGCCCTGGTTCCTGGTTTGATGTATATTTTGTATGGAAACTCAAATAAACAAAAGCTAGTGAGTGGTTAAAAGTATGTAATTGAGTATAGAAACTACATTAAGGCAAAAAAAAAAAATTGTGTATGATCATATGGAGGCGTCAGCGTGTAGTCAACTCAAGGGTAAAATGTAGACATTGATGGTTTGGGGTGTTTTTTTTCTCATTTTTCCCATGAGAAAATTAGGGTAGGGGCTGTCAGAATAGGGTACCGGGTAGGTAGGGAAACCGGAAGCAGAAGTAATTTTTTGGGGCCTAACCTATAAATAAGATGAAATAGTATCACAAATTCAAAACAAGCTTTGTGTTTTAAATTCTCCCCTTCTCCAAAATGCCCACAAAGTCAGGTTTGGAAAGTTTTTGAATATTGTAAGTTTTGGAACTGGAAGTACTAAAAATACTAACTCGAGCCGGAAAAGAAACACATTTATTTCCATTTAAACTACTGTACATGTACAATACATGTACGGTTGTTGGAGGCCCCGTTGTTAATTTGGAAAGAATGTGATATCCAGACGCCACTTTGACAGCGGTTGTGTACAAAGTCTATGGTGAGTCGAGAACATTTTTAAAGTATTTCCTAACAAAATTGGCAATGTTTCTCAGTCCCAGATGCACGTCTGTTCAACATTGTTGCAATGAATGACCTTTATTGAGATGATACATGTCATGAAGAAAAAATGGCATCAGGTTGCAATATTCTTTCTGTTAATTTCTACGATCACATTTTAGATTTACAACAATAAAAAGCTCCTTTCATGATTTGAAAAAACTGGAATATCAGGTTTTACCACATGGAATTTAAATACTGCCCCACGTGTAATAAATCGGTCACTGTTAATTTTCATCGCAGAAAAAAACGTTCTGAAATTCCTGTTTGTTTTTCTTTCTTAAATGAGAAAGAAGGTAAATTATTTCCCAGCTTCAGTCTTTTCTTCCAAATTCTTCCAACATCACAGTATTGATGCCTCAAATATTTTGGCAAATGTTCGGATTAGAAAATATTTCCTTTTTTTTTTGCTTTAATTTTTTTCCACTTTCTGTCTCTCCTGGGGAGTTTCCTGGGATAAACAAACCACAGATTTCCTGAATTGCCCAACGACTTCCTGCCAAGTGTCAGATACAATTTATCACAACTGTAGAGTGAAACCAGGACGGGAAACTGACTGACACAAAACTACAAATAGAGAAATTTGCATATTATAGACAAACACATTATTTTTAAACGCCTAAAAATAATTTATGAAACATCTCTGGGTACATGATGTATGTACAGTTTGTATACATGTATCATCTGATAATTGACATTGAAAAAAATATGAAATTGAAATAAATGCCACATGTGAAACTGATATAAATATCTTGACAAACATGTATTGATACATATTTAAAGAATAAAAAAAACTAGCGTTTACCTACATGACCTACTAACCACAGCATTCCACCACAGGCCACAGTAAATTTGAAAGGCTGTTTGAAAGGCAGTGGCTTGTAATTTCATTTACTTCAAAAGAAAATCTTGTGGTAAATTGTAAAGTAAAAAAAATTTTAATTTTGTATTTATTCCTGGAAATATTCCCGGGAACAACTTTCAACAAACACAATTTTGAAAGAAGGATAAAGAATTATACACTTTTTCATATTGAATATTTCCACAGAACAAAAATAACATTGGAAAAAAAGTTGCACTGTCTGACTGTGAAAACTGTCACAATTGTAGTCTAAAGAATTTATCCAAATTAGGAAAGATTTTATTTTCATCAGTCTTTACAAATCATGTAGGCAATGATTAACCTTGCCCGCAGTAAAAAAAAATCAAAAAAAATCAACACTCCCCTGGCACTGCTGTGACATCACGCATTGAAAGAGTTTGACTCATTACACAACAATGCAATGAATGAGTACAACCCCCAACCATTCGAAAACCACCTGATGTCAAAATCCATTTAAATCAGTTTAAAATCAACTGAACTGTGTGGAGTCAAAACAACATAAAACATAGTAAAGGACTTTCTTGTTTAGTGTAACAATTGTATAAAATAACACCCTTGTTTTAAGTAACATCCATCTTGACATTAAGAAAAATCAAATGATTTCGTTAAATTGCAGTACCAAGTCAGTGCATGAAGTTAACTTGTGTGTTGTGTGGATTTACATGAAATATCCAAATAAAAATAACAATTTTACACAACTTTGTTGCCTTCAATTTAATCTAACAGAAACTGAAATGGACAGATTCTGGAAGGATATTCCGTTGACGAATCCCCCTCAAGGCAGAATATTCAAATATCTGGGGTTAACCGAGCAAAAATCGTGGGAAATTAATGGGGCGCAAAAACTGTTTCCACGGCGGAAAATGGCCGTTAGCTTTGCTGTAGAACTATACGATTGTCGACACACGACACAAAATCGTACCACTGCAACCTTTACAAATGTTACGTTTTCGACACTTAAAAAAACAACTAAGACATCGCTACTTAAGGAGATATCAGGATATGCCCTTCCTCATCTGCTACTGAATAAATTTTGAAAAGACACTCACCAAAATGATGGAAAATCCTGGGTAAAGTTGGGCAGTTGGCGTTCCGATTTAAATCCAACTGATGTGTGTACGTGTGTTGAATTGAACGAAAAAATTAACGAACGCGATTGTACTGTGTCAATCAATCGACCCCGCCTGGCTCTTCCATGCTTGCAACGATCCCCCTCTGGACCTGTTGATGAACAATAGAGGGCGCGCTGTCAAAGGAATGGTCTTTTTCATTTTAATGGAGATCATTGGCTATTTTTTGCAACATTTTATAGACAAAATTAGTGGAGTCTCCTAATGTGGCGCACTTTGACGTTTCCCCCGACTTTCCTCATGCAATGTTGCCGAACCTCTTTGTTGACAAACTTTAAATTCATTCAGTCAAAAACTGGTACTTTTACCTTAATAATGCTTGATATTGAACCTTTGTGAACAACTTCAGTGTCATGAAATAGTCCGAAATTCAAAAACGGTGGCGTACGTCCCCCGGAAATTGGGCACAGGCAAATCGGCTGAGTGTTCCGTGGTGCACATGAACAAATCTCGGAAAATCCCAGGTTAACATTTAAGAAGTTCTTTCAAGTTGACAAATTCTGATAAACCATTATTACCGCCACTCACATACCGAACTACGAGTTTGTCAGAAAATTAGTTTCTTAGTTTTGGGCGCGTAATATTTACCGGGTTCATTGTGCACTACTTCAAAATAATATCGGAAAATCACGCAAAAATTAATTAACTTTGAGATTTGTGGACGGGAATATTTAAAGCTTGGTGAAATTTCACTCACTGTGAAATTTGAGGTAAAACTTTTGCTCTATGCTGAAGGCACTAGAGGCGAAACATCAAAGTGCGCCATGATAGCCAACCGCGCCGACCGCGCTTAGGTATGTAGGGGACATCAACGGCACCGTCTTGTAAAAAAAAAAGCGCCTTAAAGACTGGCCATTATTGTTCAGATGTGATGTTCAAAACTGTTATCGACTATTATACAACACCTGAATAAATCCGTCATCTGATTGGTGGATCGTTGATCACATGTCATTGAATTATTCGTACCAACGCACTGTGAATAGAACTTCCATTGCACTGTGTCACTGCTGCTGGTGGTGGCGCTGTTTAAACGGAGATAAATTGAATATGATTGTTCTCAACCTGTTGAACAGTTTGCATTAATATAAATATGATGAGCTTGTCAAACTTTTAAACAGTTTTTAATTGGCTAATAAAAGTCAACCAATCAGATGACAAGGATTTATTCAGGTGTTATATAAAACAAATAATGAATGTTTCACGTTCGTGCAATGGAAAGAATAATTTCATTCGGTGACAGATGAAATGTTCCATTCCACTCGGCTTCGCCTCGTGGAATGGAACATTTCATCTGTCACCTCATGAAATTATTCTTACTATTGCACTCAAAAACATTCATTATTTGTATATTGTTTTCTATATTGCATGCCGTGGCCGAGGTCCGGGCGCGAACTGGTGATGGGCGGCGGACGTGCTATTTAAACTGGGGGACCGGGAACACTAAAAAGGGGCACTTGCTCAGAAAAAGGGGAGACCTTCGCGGTGTGAAAGTGGAGGCCGTTCATTTAGCTTATAAACTATACAGTATGACGAGGATCAGGAACAAATACGTTGCCCATCTTGCTCTTTGTGTTGCTTCCACCTTGTTATCATGTAGAGAGATCTTTCTATCGCGAGAGGGGCACTGTATTGCTTTGTTGGCCAGTTCAGTGACCATTTTATTTGCGTTAAAAGGGAACTATTATTTTTAGGGCCCAGTTTTCCATCTTGAGAGGACGCACAATTTTAATGTTGCAAGCGGGACATTTCGAGGGGCATTTTTCCATCTCGAGAAGTTATCGCGAGAGGAGCACTAGTTTCCATCTCGAGAGGGGCACAATTATTGTATTATTGCAAGAGGGGTATTTGTACAGTAGACGGATAGTGCCACTCAATAAGCCTGAATATATTTTTTTGTACGTGTGAACATATTTTTGTTGTACAGCAGCAGCCGCCACTTCTTATGTGGCGGCCGCATAATAAGTGGCGGCCGCTGTACAAAAAACAAAATATTTTCACACGTACAAAAAAATATATTCAGACTTATTGAGTGGCACTATCCGTCTTTCGTATATTTGTGCTTTTGAGGGGTAGTTTTATATCTCGAGAAGGTGTACAATCTTGTATGCGAAAGGGATATACTTGTGTTTTTGAAGGGCAGTTTTGCATTACAAGATAGGAGGAGACAATTTTATTTGTAGCGCGATCATATGCTTTCATATGTGTGCGCTTGAGGGGCAGTTTTGTTTTCAATTTCATCTCGAGGGGCACATCTATAACCGTGAAAGGGGCACTTTTGTTGCCCCCCCCCCCCCCCCTGGTTCCGCCGCCCCTGGTAGGGTGGGATGCCCGTAGGGTACGGATGGGGCTAATATTGTGTAGATTCGTAACACAAAAGAAACTGAACCAAAGAAAGACCAATAGTTTCAATTGGAGTTAAGTAATGTGCAATGTAATTTCTATTCAAATGTGCCGGGTAAGTTTGCCAAACTTAGTGCGCGCGCGCGTTGACCGTTAAATTTATATAGCGCCCTCTGTTGTTTGACAAGTCATATTAGCAACAAGATGGCGCCTGGTAAACAACTTGATGAAAAAGGTAGGAGGAGAACCTAGAAAAAGCAAAATATCTTCAACCCTGAAATTAAAAAAATGCCCGATTTCCCACTATATGAATCATATAACTATCGTAGCTCTTAAGTCATGCCCAAAATGAATCAATCACTCTTCGGAAGTCAATTTTAAATGGTTTGTTTCTGGTAGGCTACTTCAACAGCATTCATCACGATCAGTGATCTTCGATCATTCAGTATTGAACGTTAATCAGACTCAGACTCTGCATGATTCAGTTAATTAAATATTAAGTATCATGATCAATACATTCATCAATCATCCTGTTCATCAACATTATGGGAGAACAATTTCATAATGACAAAAATCAAGAATGCAGTTGCAGGCACCACCCCTCCCCCCCCCCCCCAGGCCCCACCTCACTTGGTCAAGTTGGTGTCTCACTGTGTCAATCGTGAATTTGAATGTCATTACATTTGTTGCATTGGCGATTGGTCGCCGCATTGCTTGTAGTAAACCTTTTGACATTCATGACATTGGCACTGCATCATGGGATGAAAAAAAAAATGTAAGAAATATAATTAAATTGTAAATAAAATTCACTTTGTAAACTTTCTTTAGAAATAAAAATGAGAAATAAACTTTAAATTTACACAGTCTCAGGCCCAGTAGAACTGTCGAGCGCAATTTTGAGTCCCCCGCGCAAGTTTAAACTGCGCGGGGGACTCATATTGCGCTCAACATATTAACTCAATTCTTGATATTATATCCTCCTTATATGAGGAGGAATCAAGTGAAAGTTGTAACTGGTACTCGGCCCCATAGGTTTGTGCACAAATTGCCTGGTTTGTTTGTTTGTTATCCAATCCCAGGATGCATTGTGAATATTAAAAAGGTTTATGCAAATGAAACTTATAAATGTTTATCATTTCACACAAAACTGACCAGTTGTTTTTGTTTTTTAAGAAAACATAATGATAAGGATTAAATGCAAATCCTAGACTTTCATAACTTGATTTGTCCCTGTAAATATAAACAAGTATTTAATCTGGTCCTGTTTGATTTCTTTGTGTAGGCCTACTTTTGGTTGGTTTTGCAACTGTGTCTACCTTAGCTATTACTAGGCTGGTATTTTCAAAAAACTTTATTCAAATATTGAAACTTTGGTCATTGTATTTTGATTATAAATTTGTTGACAAACAAACCTAAAATGTGTTGCTCAACAGAAAATAAATATGTAGATTTATTTTTAATGGAAATCTTTACTTCAAATATTTTTCTTTAGCATGACAATTAACAGCTGTTTCCCTCATGGCTGCACCCATGAATATTGAAACTCAAGCATCAAAGGAATGTAACGTTTATGACTGTACATGTATTGGCCGTGGCTTAACCTGCATGCTAACTATGTAGAATTTTTCAGACTTCAGTGCAATGGGGGTCTCAACCAATTGTCAACATCCAACCCCACCCCACCCTACCCTGTACCCCATCCCACCCCACCCCACCCCACCCCACCCTCATCCCAACCCTGAACCTCGACCCACCCCACCCCATACCACCTCCATACCGCCACCCCATCCCCACCTCCGACCCCACCCTCATTCCCCCGTCCTCATCACCACCCCACCCCACCCCCCCACCCACACCCCACCCCCACCCATACCTCCACCTACACCCACACCCCCACCCCTAGCCCTATTCCTACCCCCACCCCTACCCCCACCCCTACTCCTACCCACACCCCCACCTCCACCCAATAGCCAAAACGGCAGCATGGAGCTGTATACTCCCAGGGATCTGAGATTGTCTTTGGAATGTTTCATTGGCCCAATGAGCAGGGTAATAATGATGAAGTGCCTTGAGCACAAATACTGGTGGATACGTGCCCTTTACAAATACACACATTATTATTACGCAAAGAAATAAAAAGACATAGACAAATTGAAGACCTTTAGAAATAGTTTCTGAAAACTTTCAAAAACAAGTTACCAAAATATTATGGTCAATAAAAATTGAGTGGAAATGAAAGTGAAAAACAGTAATTTGGCAGCAGATTTATATTTGGGCAATTCTCCATGGGAGAGCAAAAAATGTCAAAAATAAATATTTACATATTAAACCTTTTTTGTACTTTTTCGAGACCTCAATTAAATGGGGAATTCAGTTCAAAAAACGAAATTGAAAAAAATTACATATTTCTGGTAGAAACGGTGATTTTTGCAATTTATGATTAAAAACGTTCAGATTTGGTAAAAAAATAAAATTTAGTGTATGTATTACTTTCTGAATTATAGGGAAAAGATTTGATTTATTTTATGATGTTACAAGTTACTAACATTACTCGGGGTGATTAAAAAAAATTCTAAAAATATAAATAAATATATATATATAGTGTAGGCCTTCATTTAAAAATGTCAAAATTAGCACGTAATTCCGTTACCGAAAAAATGGCAAAAGTTACTCATTTCACAAATTTTATTGTTTTTTTTCTTCAAATCATGTATGTTGAGAAAAGACCCTACTATAAACATAAATGAAAAATAAAAACTTCAAAATAGTAATTTCTTGGCATTTTTCCAAGTGGTAACGGAATTACGAAACGGTAACGGAATTACGGTAACGGAATTACGCATGCACAAAGTATGCACATTTCCTCCAGATTATGTACATGACATATTATTAAATAGGAGATTTGCTTGTAACCTTTGACAATAACTTTAAATAATAAATTACTTGTTAAATCATTTCCCTCTTTAATTTGCTATTATATAATTAAAAACAATCAGGTGTTCCATTGATATTTTTTACTTTTACGTTTTCTTTTTACTATTTAAAAAATGCTAATAGTTGTTTGGATGCTTAAAGGGAATATACAACATTTTCAAACATCAGAAAATAAAACTACCAAGTTTTTACAAAATACCTTACTAAGATGTTGGTAAATGACAGTCTAAAGCATCCTGTAAAATTATGGCACCTGGTGTGAAGTAATTTTCAAGAAAATGATATTTTTGTATACATTTCCAACGGTGGTCGGCCGACCACCGTTGGAAAAACCTAACTATTTTTCAACTACTGCTCCAACTTTACATTCTTTCCAGTCCAAATTTTGTTTGCTATTTGTTACATGTTCACGAACGGGTGCAGGCCAGCTAGTCTGGTTCCCTTATCCTCCAATTTTCCGGCATCTATAAATTGATCCATTTTACCTTTAGTGGAGTCAGGGAACCAGACTACTTGAACAGTTTTGTTTTTCTTGGTTTTTCCAGCATTTTTGAACGCAAAACTTCAAACATGTCAGTGTAACAATATTTAATCTATTATACTAACCCCTCAAATAGTTCATTTCTTAAAATTACAGCAAAAGCCAATGATGTACATTCCCTTTAAATATGTGTTGCCAAAGCCGTTGTCTGGTACCCACAGAAAATATATTTCACAACAAGTATATTGAGTACCAGACTGTACTTGTACTTCTACTTGGCATAACTTAACATCTTCCCTTGCTCAGAGATGCCAACCAGTGAAGTTTATTGTATTTTTCACGATAAACTAGTGAAATACGATAATACAATTATTCATAGTAAACTTAGATTTTCGGTAAAAAAATATATACATATACATATTGCTTTCATTTGACCTTGACCTTTGACCTAAAAAATGAAGCCCAGACATGTTTAGGCCTACATTTACATTTTGATCTGCTAATTTTCACTTAGCTTTCCCCTTGTGGCATTTTATAAACTTCTAAAATTTGTATTGTGATGAGTTTATGTTGAATTCAATGTAAAAGTATTGCATTTACCTATTACATGTAAACCTATGGCGTAATTCCGTTACCGCCCAGGCGTAATTCCGTTACCGTGATTAAAATGCAAATTATGAAAAGAGTGATTATTTTTTCAACTTTGTTCTGCATTGTAGTTAACAACACCCCTGAACTCTATAAATAACAGGTAGTGTCCAATTTTAAAATTTCAAAACTTCAGAGAGTTTTATTAATTTATGCAAGAACTCAAATATGCTTGTCCTCCGTCCGTAATTCCGTTACCGATATTAAGCTCCGCCCCTTAAAGGGTAATCTTGTGGGATTTTTTTTTTTTTAGCGGTCAATCAATTCTATTGGGACTTGGCTCCCTTTCCATGTTTAGATTAGTTGCCTAGCATAGAACGTATTTTCTTGGGAAAGAATAATCCTTGACAAAGTGACAAAATTCCGTAATTCCGTTACCAAAGAATTGCCCATTTGTATAATTTTTTTCATTTGTGCAGTTTTTTAATTTTAAAATTTTGTTGAACTTTTATTTTCATGGTTAAGTGTTTCTAAGTACTTTGAACCATTTCCCAACAGTATGCATACTTGTCTGCATGAACAAATTATTCAGTAACTGACTGACACAAGTCTATGGAGTGATCAAGGATCTCTTGTTGCTAGGCAACCTGCCTCAAAAGCCCATTCCATGTGACCCATACCCTGAACACCCCTCATTTTATTGTAGCTATTGACACTTTTAACAATAGTGTTTTATGGTAGGGTAGATTAAACTTGCGCAGGTCAACCCAGCGATTGTCCTCGTGCCCCCAAACAAATTCCTAAATTCCTTCAATTTCGTTTATCAGTTAGTGTGCCAACCACCCCTCAAAAAGTGATAAAAAATTTTGACAGCCACTTATGATGTGGGTTAATTGCGGTTTGATGGCAGGCATTTATCAAGATAGCATTGTTTCACGTATCTGCTTGCACAAGAGGTGTGAAGGCACTTGGACAAGTCTAAGTTTGCGAAGTGGTATTTCTTTTGGCGAGTTCTCGCTTGGTTTGGTTAGCCACAGGCATTGTGCACGGTTCTATACCACTGAGTAGAGCCACTGACAAAAGCCGCACTGTGTGATTCCAAACGTTTGGGAAATTTTCTCATGGTTTTTGCTGAGAAATATCAGTGATACTTCCGAGCTCTACAAATGGGATGGCTTGGAATCCCTGTTGCTATGGTAACACTGAAAGTTCCCAAGTGGAGTTTTACTTTGAAGAAGTTGGTCAAATATGTGTAAAACTTGTTGAGGAGTTCAGCAGGGAAACCTTACATGCACGTGCAACGACCAGCGATGGATGTATTGTGAAGTTATTTTCGAGTTTTAGTGCAAAGTCACATGTTGGTGTATTGCTCTCCTATGGCAACAAGGGATGTTTCCGCGAATCCCGTTCCGAGGAATTATCGCCGACTTGCCAAGATTGCCTCGGGCCGAGATTAGAGAGAAGTTTTTCTGATATACAAGTACACCTGACATTAAAGCCCATGGTCCCAGTTGTGCTGAAAGCATGCTGCATTAGTAACAAGACAAACAGTTGGATGGACACGTGTGTTTAGAGGATACTTCAGCAGGTCCTAAACCCTTACCGTGGTACTTAACAAGGCTTGCTGCGTAAACTTCCGTTGTCGTCATAAAGAGAAGAAATCCCTCTTGAGGCTTCAAGCATTTCTTGAAGTGTGTGTTTGAACAAAGAAGGAACAATGTTGAAATGAGCTGGCATTTATATTTGCCAAAAGTACAGGTGTGGTTTGAGTCCTGCTTGATAAGTACATGTACAAAATGGCGTCTTCAGATTGCAAGAGTTGTATCAGCTCAACTTGAAACAAAAAATGGTTTTAAGAACCATCAGAATTTAATATGCAAACAAATAATCCATGTATTGTATGTACACAGAGGCACCGGTGCATCTGAGATTGTGAGAAAAACATTGGGGAACGAGTGCAGCTGATTTAAATTTGCCCAAAATCTGAGGATTACGGTTCCAGCACCCTGCGGAGAATGGGATTAAAAAGTCCTGTCCTTGGAAACTACAAGCTGATGCTAATGACGGTCACGGAGGTGGCTGTTGTAGTTACGCAAATCACCTGAGACTGGAGATGTTCTTTTGAGAGACGCAGCTGAGGAGTCTCTTCCCGTTTTTTCAGTAAAGGAGCTTTCTTTCTCGGCGAGTGGGGATCAGAGATTTGTTGGACATGTTTAAATCACTGAAGGAGATCACCACTGCTGTCTTTAAGAAAGTCGTGTGGAGTTGAAGAAATTGAGCTAGGACTCTGGGAAACATCAGTTGTCTAAGTGAATTGTTTGGACACATACACTGGAACTTTTGATGCAGAGAAGTTGGCAAAAAGCAGAGTGCTGAAGGTAGCTTTTTTCGCAGGATTCATTTGGCGATGTTTTTGTACAGCTCTGAAATATCCATTCATCTCAGAATCTGGCAGTGGTTTTGAAGTGTGTTTTGGAGACTTTCTGAGGTTTCTTCAGCAAGTTCGGAACAAATTTTTGGACTGCTGATTTTGTTGACAAATCCTGCTTATTGGAGTACGAGTTTGTTCTAAGCAAACAGTGCTGAGATTGGCTTACCAGATTATCACCATGGTATGAATATAAACGGATTAATCAAAAATGGTTTAAGAATAATCTCAAAGCAAACAGAGCATGGCATGGATTTCATCATTGATGCTGATCACTAACGCTTGGGAAAAATTCGCAGGGCTGTTTCAAAAAGGAGTGTTTTTGGCAATGAACGCTAGCTCAATCAGTGCATTTGTAAGGGAACAGTTGTGGCATAGAAGGCAGAAAGGCAGCTGAAAAGCCAGGTGGTATTGTCACTGAAAAGAAAGGGATGTTTGAAGAGCCGTTTATGCATGAATCGACAGTTGTCAAGTCATGAAAGCTTCGCACGTCGCCATGGCACAGTGTTTCCGCCTCGATTGAGAAGCTTTGTGAATTCAGGAATGCATGAATTTGGAGTTGAGAGCAGTGATAAAGGCTTTCACTAAAAGGGAAGCGTTGTTTGAAAAGGCAGGTTTTTTTTGCGTTAAATTGATTGCCGTCATTAAATTGTGAGGACTCCGGGCCTGGATGTGAAGCTGTGAACGTGGGAATTGGAGTTGATAGCAGTGAGCTGGCTGTACTTTGAAGCGTCATCGTCGTTGCCATCATTATAACCAAACTGCTTGGTTTCAAGCCTGTCTTACTGGCTGTTATTAATTTGTAACGTCTCTGTGGGCCCGGATATGAAGCCGTGAACGTGGGAATTGGAGTCGATAGCAATGAGCTGGCTGTACTCTTAAGCGTCATCGTCATTGCCATCATTATAACCAAACTGCTTGGATTCTAGCCTGTGTTACTCAGTGAAGAAAAGTCTGCATCTTCTTTGGCCCACCACCAGTTGTCCTCATGTACTGCATCTTTCTTTCAAGAATTTTCTTGTGAGATCAACAGCTTTTGTGAAATTCCTCATCCCTTTTCTGCAAACTTTGAAAAAGTGAAATTGTAATCTGTCATCAGATGGATTTTCCAGACTTTGGATTGAATCATGGTCGGACTTTGGTTATTTTCTTAATGTTGACCATATTGTTTGAAATGTGCACTTGAAGTTTGCTCTGCAAATGTTCTATGAAAGCTGAAAATCGACTGTGCTTGGCCGAGATATTGTAAGATTTCTGCGTTAGAAAAACAAAAACTGATAAAACTACTTGGCTGCCACAAGGTACCATGGCAACAAGGGAACCGGCCAAAAGTGCCGGTCCCCGTCAGAACGCGCCACGTTCGAAAATCTTTCTGCGGGAGAACACGATGACGCTCAGTGAGAAGATCGCCCTCTATCATCACCGGGCAGACGATTCGGAGGACTTCCGCGTGGCGGCGTTACGGAATCGGACTTGCGTCGCCAACGGCGGACGCACTTTCGTAACCGAGGAGGCTCAGGAGGAGGCTCAAGCCGCAAATACAAAACCAGAGGGAGGAAATGGGAGAAGGAATGCAAAGGGAGGGTATATCCCCACTGGAAGGAGATCGGCCAGCGATATGAGTTTGGCTGTTTGTGTGTCTGTTACAGGTACTGCATACCTGTTAGTTTTAAGTTGTGATTTTTTTTCAAGAGTTTACCCCTTTACAGCCTGTCTAAAAAAAAATGGTATAATCAAAAACAATTTTTCAATATTAAATCTCAACATAAGTAAGTCGTTTTGAGCATCACATTAAAGAAAAAAGACCAGGCTTTCCAATACTTTTTGTTTCATCTCATTTGCTTTTGTCAATCCAGAGATAACTCCAGTTTACTGCGGAACACAAAAATCGAGTTTGTTTCTTTTGCCAAGTTGCAATCTTTTGTGAGCTACAAGACAGCATGGCACAGTACTCGAAACAACTCTGCCCATGCATAAAAGTGGCACAAAATCGATTTTGGTGTATCGCACTAAATTGATTATATCTCTGAATTGACAAAAGCAAATAAGATCAAACAAACACTATTGGAAAGCCCAGTCTTTGTTCTTTAATATTATGCCAAGTAAGAATGACTTATTTTGAAATTTCATATTTAACCAATTTTTTTTCTGATTGTACCATTTTTTTTGAGACAGGCTGTACATTAATGTTCTGACCAAGCACACAAATGTGTTAAACACTGTTCCACTGTAGTTGGGAAACTTTCAAGTTTTCAACGACCAAAATAACAAAAAGAAGCCACAAAACAGCCAGGGTTGTTTTGAGCAACCCAGACAACGCTGATTGACAATTCATTCAGCAGTTAACAGTTGACTTGATCACAAAAGAATGTTTTCCACAGCTTACCCATGTTTACTTTCCATGTTAGCAACACCTATAGTTCTTTATCGTCCAACACAATGAACATCACCAGGGTTTTGAAGGAGTTTGTTGGCTGGGCTGGGCTGGGCTGGGCTGGCCACCGCGGCTGGGAAAGACTTTGTATCTGCTGGAAAATTCCGATAGTAGATTATTTTTGGTTAATAAAGTAATATTTAACTTTTTCCTGTGTCTGTACAGTATCCGATGGTTGCAGTCTATGCATAATGAATGGACATAGACACCAAAGATAAAATATGCTCACTTCAAATTTTAAAAATCTCCAAGGCGTTCAATATCTGCTGGAAATTCCGATAGTGGATTATTTTTGGTTAATAAAGTAATATTTAACTTTTTCCTGTGTCTGTTCATCCGATGGTTGCAGTCTATGCATAATGAATTGACATAGACACCAAAGATAAAATATGCTCACTTCAAATTTTAAAAATCTCCAAGGCGTTCAATATCTGCTGGAAATTCCGATAGTGGATTATTTTTGGTTAATAAAGTAATATTTAACTTTTTCCTGTGTCTGTTCATCCGATGGTTGCAGTCTATGCATAATGAATTGACATAGACACCAAAGATAAAATATGCTCACTTCAAATAAAAAAAATCTCCAAGGCGTTCATAGACACACTTCAAATTAAAGCTTGATTTCATACCAGTATCTTTCAATTTGATGTTTTTTTTGTGTGTGTTAAACTTTTGGCTGATAAGCTGTTTCAAAGTTGATTACCCCTGAACTTGCATGTACTTGTAGTCCTGAACCAAAAGCTTTGATGTGGAGAATTGTGTTGAAATTCAGAAATGTCAGGGGGAAAATGGCAAAAACAACGAATATTTATGATATGTCCTGGGGGATTTTTGTTCTTGAGATAAAAAAAAACACCAGTAACCAGCACAACTGAGCAGTCAAAGAGAAGTTTTTGTGTCTGTGAAATTTGACAATTTAACCAAGAAGTACATGTAATAAGATAACCCCTGATGTTGTGGTAAACATTGCCAGAAAAAAAATGTGGGGAACGTTAAATTTATTTGGACAAATTTGAATGAAACATCATTGGCAACAAATTGTGAGCACTTTTATGAGCACCGTAGGATGTGTTTTGGAGCCTGCTGTATTCAATTTCATAGTTGAACCATTAAATAATCCCCTTAAATTTGCGTTATTTTAGAAAAGTAGTTTGTAAGATTTAGCTTCGTGGCAAAAAATAGTCATAAGGGAAACATTATTTAGAAAAACAAAAAAAGTTAGTGAGCATGTTCAGATCTGCAGGGTGGCAGGTTTTGAGACCTGTGACATTTGACAATTTAAGTGTCAAATACTTTTTTTTTCCTTCCCAAGATTCTACCCATGAGCTGATGGAGGCAGCTGAAAAGGGTGACACGACCGCCGTTCGCCGTGTCCTGAAAGAGAGCTCGGCGGACATGAACTTCGGCCATGGCGGTGACTATAGGACGGCGCTACTGCGGGCCTGTCAGTACGGGCAGGTGGACGTCGTCAAAGAGTTATTAGAGGTAAGTATTTTTTTTCAAGAGTGTACAAGTATTAAAAGAAGAGTCTGTCATGAGCCAATGTGGCTCATCAGGTCGGTGGTTTTCTCCGGTGTCAGTGGCATGAAACAACTAAGAATATTTATATCCACCCTGGATGGGATGCCTGTCCATTGCAGGTTACTCCCCAGCTAATGCCGGTACCCATTTTTACTCCTGGGTAGAGAGAGGCAAAGTGGGGTAAAGTGGCTTGCCCAAGGACACAACATGTGACCAGCAGCTGGATTCGTTTACCTCCGGTTTCTTTGGCATGAAACGACTGAGAATATTTCTATTCCCCCTGGATGGGATGCCGGTCCATCGCAGGTTACTCGCCAGCTAATTCCAGTACCCATTTTATACTCCTGGCTTGAGAGAGGCAAGTGGGGGTGAAGTGGCTTGCCCAAGGACACAACATACGGCCAGCAGCTGGATTTGAACCCCTGACCCTCTGATTATGAGTCACATACCCTAACCACTAGGCCACACTTCCACAAATTGACTAATGTACTAATCCAACAAGAGCCGTTTTAGTTTGTACCTTTTCTTCAGAGTGGGGAATCACACCCACCCCTTCCCCCGCCAGAATTCCACGGTTCGGAGAGAGCTATGAAATTTGGACCCAGAGTCTGTCGTTAAAACTGCTCAGTTTGTACTATTCTCCAATTCATGATAGGCCGGTGCCGACGCTGGCATCAGAACCGTCAAGAACCGGACTCTCCTGCACGAGGCCTGCATCGGCGGCCACCCGAAGGTCTTACAGCTACTCCTAGATCGAGTCGAGGACATCGACGCGGTGGACTCGGAAGGTCAGAGCGCGTGTCACGCAGCGGGCTTCCAGGGAGAATTGGATTGCTTACAAGTCCTGTCAGAGAAAGGTATCATTTTTGGTTAATAAATCTCAGTTATTTCATGGTAGAACATGTCATTTGCAGCTATCCAAAAAGTGAAAAAACATAATTATTGTTCAAAAGCATACTTGGCTTAAAGATAGTAATGGCACTAAACTCCCTGTGAAATTATTCTTTCTGGCATGCTGTCATTTTGAAGAAAACAATAAAAGAGGGTCATTTCCAAAGATTCTTCTAAAAGACGCATTTTTGGAGATTTCCGTTAGTAGTTTTTTTTTTAATTCGGCGAAGCCATGAATGGGTGTGCACAAAGCATTGACAAGATGCATGCACACGCGCAGTTGCTATATTTTGTCCGTTCAGAGTGCGATATCACATAGCTGCAATTGGCTGAATGAGAAAGTGTCCCGGATGCTGATTTCGGGCGCAATTCAAAACATGACTCGGCGACTTTTGATTTGAAACAGCAATCCTAAAATGTTGTTTTTCTCGGAATACACAGCATTCACAGAGCTGAAACTTCATCACGTTTAGTTGTGAACCACCCTTCTTTAGATTTGGGTCACTTTTGTTGCTTCAAACGAAAAAAAATGCACAAATGACAAAAGATATAGTCGACCTTTAAAGAAGTTGTACTGTGGTCAGGACAGAACAAAATATTTGCACGAACAGTAGATGTGTATTCTGACCATTTTCGAGATCCCCAGTGGGAGGGGCAACCGCATACTTAAGTAGGATATGAGGTGGTTAGAATAAGATATATTCATTTATTCAAATGTATTCAAATAGGTGCTGATATGTGCATTGTGACCATTTTCGAGAGCCCCAGTGCTTTTAGTAGGATATGAGGTGGTTAGAATAAGAAGTATTCATTTATTCAAATGTATTCAAATAGGTGCTGATATGTGCAGTGTGACCATTTTCGAGAGCCCCAGTGCTTTTAGTAGGATATAAGGTGGTTAGAATAGGATATATTCATTTATTCAAATGTATTAAAATAGGTGCTGATATGTGCATTGTGACCATTTTTGAGAGCCCCAGTGCTTTTAGTAGGATATGAGGTGGTTAAAATAAGATCTATTCATTTATTCAAATGTATTCAAATAGGCGCCGATACGTCATTGGAGGACAAGAATCTGAAGAGCCCCGCCCACCTGGCCGCTGAGAGGAACCACCCACGGATCCTGAGCTACCTACTCAGTCGGGGCGTGGACATTGAGACATCGGACCGGCTAGGGCGGAGACCGGCTCACTATGCAGCTATCCATGGGGGTGAGGCTCTGTCTGTCTGTCTATGTTTTTGTCTGTCTGTCCAGTGGACATTCCTCTGTTTTGAAGGGAACTTTTAGACCTTTAGTTGTAATTGAGTCAATCACAAATCAATCACAAGTCAGTCACAGGTCAATCACAAGTCAATCTCAGATCAATCACAGGTCAATCATAAGCCAATCACAAGTCAATCACAAGGCAATCACAAGTTAATCCCAAGCCAATCACAAGTCACTCACAAATCAATCACAAGGCAGTCACAAGTCATTCACAAGTCAATCTCAGATCAATCACAAGTCAATCATAAGCCAATCACAAGTCAATCATAAGCCAATCACAAGTTAATCACAAGTCAATCACAATTTAATCCCAAGTCAATCACAAGTCACTCACAGATCAATCATAAGTCAATCACAAATCGATCACAAGTCAGCCACAAATCAATCATAAGTCAATCACTAGTCAATCCCAATTCAATCACGAGTCAATCCCAATTCAATCATGAGTCAATGACAAACTGCTCTCTATTTCCCCCGTCAGGTCTAGAAAGCCTAATCCTCTTCGTCCAGGGCAACTGCGACACGCTAGCCACGGACAACGCCGGCTGCATCCCGGCCCACTTTGCGGCCAAGAAGGATCACCTAGACTGCGTGAGGTTCCTGGTCAAGCACGGCACGGACCTAGGAGCCAAGGACGGATCGGGAAGAACGCTCGCTCACATGGTATTCATTTGTTTATTTTGTTTTTTATTTGTAGAGTGCCTTGGCCTCTTGGTCGGAAGCATTGAACTCAAGATCTGTGGGTAGTTCTGCAGGTTGTGGGTTCGAGTCCAGCCTGGGGTTGTGTTTGTGCCCTTTGGCAAGACACTTTACATTATTTATGTATTCATTTGTGGAGTGCCGTGCCTCATGGTCTGTAGTATCAAACTGGAGATCTGTGGGCAATTCTGCAGGCTGTGAATTTGGTTCCAGCGTTGGGGTTATGGTGCTTGTGCCCTTGGGCAAGACACTTTACACTAATTGACTCCCTCCACCTGAGAGTAAATGGGTACCTGTGAGGGCAGAGTTGGTTACTGCGATTGATTCAAGCTGCTTTGCCTATTCGAATCGTCGTATGTTTTTTTTAAATGTATGCTTTGGCTTTTAGTTTTGCAATTTTAGTATCACAAATTTTGGAAGTTCTAAAAAGTAAAGATTTCTGGGGTTTTTGTGTGTGTAGGCTGCTCTGTATGGCGCGATGACATGTCTGCACTGGCTGTTCGAGAAAGGAGCTGATGCTTCGGCCAAAGACAGTAAGCATCTTTCACGATTTAAGAAAACTTGCTTATTCAAACTTAGTGTTTATTAGACAAGGTTCCAAATTGAGTGAGTTGGAGGGTACAAGGGCTAAAGACAGTAAGCATCTTTCATGAGTTTACAGAACTTGTTTAGGCAAACTTAGTGTTAGACAAGGTTCCAAATTGACTGAGATGGAGGATACAAGGGATACAGATAGTAAGCATATTTCATGAGTTTGATCTTGCTTAGGCAAACTTAGTGTTAGACAAGGTTCCGAATTAAGTGAGTTGGAGGGTATAAGGGCTAAAGACAGTAAGCATCTTTCATGAGTTTGACAAACTTGCTTAGGCAAACTTAGTTTCAAAACAAGGTTCTGAATGAAGTGAGTTGGAGGATACAAGAGCTCAAGTCAGTAAGCATCTTTCATGAGTTTGAGAAACTTGCTTAGGCAAACTTAGTGTTAGACAAGGTTCCGAATTGAGTGAGTTGGAGGATACAAGAGCTAAAGTCAGTAAGCACTTTTCTTGCATTTAGAAACATGCTTTTCAAGCTTAGTATCCGCGCTAAGCCATCATTCATTTGCAAGTCAAGTCACAAGCTATTCAAACTATTCCTTCAGAATTGTTTTTCCACTGTTACCACGGTTACTAGGAACTTTTTTGTGATGATTTCTGATTTGACTTGAGATGAACTCAACTTTTTCTCTGACAGATATTGAAGTGACTAGAAGTCGGATGGACTACGGTTAAAAAATGAATATTTAAATATGTAAATTAATACGCCTTTTTTGGCAATGATTTCGTTTTCGCAGACCAAGGCAACACGCCGGCCCATCTCGCCGCGACAGGCGGCCACGCCAAGTGCTTCAACTGCTGCCTGCAGCACAACGGACCGCTGGACGCCCTCAACGACAGGCAGGACACGCCCATGGATTGCGCGAGACGATCAGGGCACCCCCAGCTCATGAGCAGAGCAGGTCTGTTCAAATGTGTATATAGAGACAATCCAGCAGGCAATTACGGTATTTTTCCCTCTATCGACGGAACCATGACTTCGATATGGCAGGGATAACTACCACTGTGCCTGTCAGCCTACCCTCTATGTGCTCTGTCGGGAGCAGACAGACAGACAAAAGGGAGAACAACAGATTCTGAGTTGTCCTCGAGATTCATTTTTTGTTAAAACGGTCCTCGAACATGAGTTTGTGTGCTTAGCCTATGGGAGAGTGTTATATTACAGGGACAACGGGAAAGACAATGCCTTGTCCTCGAGAGTTATGTAAAGTGCGACTGTGTGTCAATTCACACGTGTATAGCACAAAGTGCGTACGTCTTAGTTTATTTTGATTGTGCACTATACACTCTTCGCATGAGCATCACGCATCTTCAAAAATGCATTCGAATGTCTGTCCCAGTGGTCGCCCCCAAATCTCCCTTTCTTACCGTTGAGGGGGTACTTGTTTACGGAGCCTGGAAGGGCCAACTGAATCAAGTTTCCAAATTTTATTTTTGGGTTATTTTTATTTCACATTTGAACGTGACATTTTTAACGGTGGAAAAAAGCTCAAGAAATCATCATGTCTTTCCATTGATTGGTCGGTTGGTTAGTAACACATGTCAGCACATGCCTCTTTTGGCCATCAATCATCTTGTCCCTTGGGCCCTTGCAACAAAACGTGCTTCAGGTCTCCACTGACTAGCTACCAATTTATTGCAGTCGTGGAAAATTGGGTCACGAGGTCACTCATTTCGCATTGGGGCTAGCACTGTACTGCACACAAAGTGGGTGTTCCACATGCTATAAAACGCTCCATGCACCAACTGACGAGCTTGTTTTGTCTGGATACTACAGGTAACAACGAGGTCAGGTGCGTCCACTGCGCCGATAATTACGAGCTTGTGGAATGGGAACGGAGCCACCAACCCTCAAAAGTACAGAAAGCCATCAAGGAGAAGAAAGGAGGCATGTTCAGCTCACCACTGCCCAGAAAACCGTAAGTTGCGGAAAATTTTATAATTTGCGTGAAAATTCCAGTAGAGTCTTTTAAAAAAGTGTTCATGTATTATAAGAGTAAATGAATGTTGCTTACCTTATTTTCAGGCCGATTATCTCTTTGCATTTTTCTCTTTTCGTTTTAGGAAAGCTCAAGAAGTACAAAAACCAAAGGTCGTCAGGTCAAAGTTCACGGGTTCACAGGGGTCGTCATCATCTACGGAGGTCCTTCCAAAGAGGGATCTGGCTGCCAAATACTTTGGACGGGGAGAACATGAATAGTAGAGGTTCAATTTCACGGAGCCGCTTAGCTAAAAGATATTGGTGGGTGTGTTCTTGGGCAAGGCACTTTACCGTGATGTGTCGCTCCAGCTCAAGATCAAAGTTGGCATGTTTGAAATTGGCTCGTGGTGCGTTGTGTCAAACTCAAAGTTGTGCAAGTGGTTCTTTTCATTGTGGGTTGGAGTCCAACATGCAGGGTTTGTGGTGCGTTGGTCCTTGGGCAAGGCACTTTACCGTGATGTTTCTCTCCACCTCAAGAGCAGAGTTGATTGGTGTGTTTGAAATTGGCCCCTGGTTTGTTGTGTCAAACTTGATATTTTGTTGGTGATGCTTTTCATTGTGGGTTGGAGTCCAACATGCAGGGTTTGTGGTGCGTGTGTCCTGGGGCAAGACACTTTACCATGATGTTTCTCTCCACTTCAAGAGCAAAGTTGATTGGTGTGTTAGAGTCAAACGTGCAGGGTTTGTGGCATGGTGCGTGTGTCCTAGCTTGGGCAAGACGTTTTAAAAGTAACCATTTTGGGCCAAAGATGGTCTTAGTTATGATTTATTGTCCCAGAGATCAGGGGTAACAACCGTGGAGTATCTCCAGCACAATTGTGGCAGGCTTTTAAAACACAAATCATGAATATTACTTCATTTGATCTATAAACATCTACACATGCACATGGACCTATCATTAAATGTAAATATTTCTTGATGTAAATTTTGTACATAATTGGAAATTCTAAATAATGTTTATGAAATAAAACGTCATTCCACAAAGTGGAACACTTCACGAGAGGGTACAGTTTCATTTCAATTATTGTTTTAATTCAACACGTGGTGTCTCCATATAGAGTGTAACTTTAAAATGCACATTTTGACAAACAACCCTGGAAAAACTTGAAGAAAAAACAAGGTCTTGTAAACCTGATCCCGGAGTTCACAAAATTCTATTCAATTGATTCCGAATGCATGGCTTTATTCACTGGACGTCTTTTCATGCATTATGGCCTAAGCTCACTCATTGGCCTTACAGGGGAAGCCTCTGTGGTTGCAGACCAGTAAATCGATCCGAAATTACCTACGCCGGCCAAATCACGATTTGCATGCCCTCAAAATCTTCAGTATTTGAGCATGCTGTGGGCCATGAACTGGAGGGTTTGTAAAAAAAATATGGGTGGAAGCTGTGCACAGGACTGTGAGCTTGTAGTTCCGTTCAATTTGGGTGAAATTGGGGCCCTTAAAGCGCTCTATTTTTCAATGGAGTGTAGGCATCGTTTTTCAAAATGGCGATGGGCTTCAGGACTATTTTCAGGGGTGATCATCTTCGGATGGAAATTTCTCCTACAAATCATCAGTTGACCCCCGAAAATTGAAAAGAAAATGAAAGATGATGAAATAAGCTTCAATTTGATGTGTGTCTCGAACACCTTGGAGAGTTGTGAGTATTTTTCCCGAATTTCTGAAGTGGGAGCATTTACCATTGGAGTCGATGGAAGTTTATTTACTGGTCTGTAACCCTATCAAATGCTTGGGCAAGGCGGTAGCGCAGGCATTGGCATGACGCACAGGCGTGCGCGGTTGCTATAATTTGTCTGGGACAGGCAAAAAAAGACTTCAAGAAAGACTATAAAGCACTTGCAATTTGGGCTGCAAAACAAATACACTCTTGTTAATACAAACTCTGTTAAATACAAATTCTGGTTAAAGTGCACAAATCAACAAAGCCTCGGCCTCGGCTCCACGGGCGCGTGAGCGTTCCTTCACTAACTCCTGGCCGTAAGGAATACGTAAACGATGCTGTGGTCGGCTATGCAGAGCGTACTGCGCACGTATTTCGAAGTGTATTTCACGGAGTTTAAAAACATCTCACAAAAGTTGACTTTTTTTTCCATAATCTATGAAAGTGTGAAAGTATACACGTTCATGCTTAGCAAACACCAGATAGTAACATCTTTGAACCAAGACTAACAATGAGTGGGAACGACACAGTGCTGTTCACAAAAAAATTCTGATATAACAAAACACTTTTGGCGATGTCGGGCTGAGTTTGCATCACATGTATAGAGAGTTGACCGTAATCTGAATTGGTTTTTATGGTGGGTTTATTTTTTTAATCTTTCTGCCACTGCGAGGGATCGAAAAGTTTTAAAGTGGAAAAAAAAAAGCAAACGGATTACATTACATCCAACAAACTGAAAATTGTATTCCTCTACGTGAAATGTTCAAATTGATTTTGATATCGATGAACTTGTTTATCTCCAACTTCAAATCCAGCCCAAACCAATTTATTTACATAGACCCCCGACATATATGTGTTTATGGCTTCTGACTAGCGCCCCTTGAAAAAAGACGTCAACAAATTCGGGGAACTGCCAACATAGGGCTGGATAGCTCACTTGGTAGAGCACCGGAACGGCATTCCGCAGGTTGCAGGTTCGAACCCCTCTACAGTCAATTTTTTTGTTCAACTTCGAAATCACTATAATGCACGTAATCACTTTTTCCTTTGGGCTTATTTGAAACTTCTTTTTACTCATGTTAGGTTTTGATATGATATCGATCAAAGAAATTGACTAGAGCAGGGTTTGAACCTCCAACCTCCAGAATACCGCACCGGTGCTCTACCGAGTGATCTATCCAGGCCTACATTGGCGTTAATTTCTTCATTGAACATTTTCCTGATCAAAATTGATTACAATTTCAATTTGTGGTTTTATAGTACACGTTTTGAGTTTATTTGACGAGTTGCTGGACGATGACTGCATTGAGTAATTTGGCGTCAGCTAGCGTCTGTGTATCGTCCGTGAGCTCCTTGTTGGGGAAAGTCGTCATCAGGGCGAAAACTTGACTGGCATAGGCAGGCCGGGCGCTGGTTTGAAGAAAAAAAAGAGTCAAGGAAAAATGTTTTGTGCATTTGGGAGGCCAACAGTGGAAGGTTTTTAAGTGGCATCATGGAAAAATGAGTCCAAAAAACCTGGATCATTAAAAGGTATATGTGCGGCGTTTTAGCAAAATGAGAACTGCGAACAGGTCGTAGTGGAGAAAAAAAATGCAGATTTTGTTATTTGTAATCTTAAATATTTTTTTCTACACATATTTTTAAGAAAATGTATAAAACCCTTAGACTAAAAGTGTATTTTAGGAAAACACACATTTTCACGACTACAAAACTCAAAATGTTATAGGCCTTTTTCTCAGTATTTTACTTTTTTCAATATTTCCATAAAATTAATCTTTAAACAGCCATAAGCTGTCAACAGCCTCCGATTAAGTGCAAAAAAAGAGTATTAAAAGGAGAATTTCACTCTCTTTGCTAATATCTGCAAACCCTCATTTTGACCTCAGCAAAGTTCTGTCTCATTTTACCAGAACCCCTCACAATTATTTGGTTTTATAATGAAATAGAAAGGATACGCTGTGATATATCTTCTGATGTCTGCGACTGTGTGCGAGTGGTTGAACTTGTTGACTAATCTGAAAGACAACAACAACAAAGCACAATGTTATTAATAAAATGTCCAGTAAGAACAGCCTCCTTTTGCTCTTGTAGTGCACTTACAGGAGAGAATACGAAATTAAACAGACAGTAATTTTTTAGGTTTTACCTGAAAGTCTTACCTGGCTTTACTTCGAGGTCTTACCTCGAGGTTTTACCTTGAGGTCTTATCTCAAAGTCTTACCTGGTTTTACCTCGAGGTTTTACCTTGATGTCTTACCTCGAGGTTTTACCTTGAGGTCTTATCTCAAAGTCTTACCTGGTTTTACCTCGAGGTCTTACCTCAAGGTTTTACCTTAAGGTCTTATCTCAAAGTCTTACCTGGTTTTACCTCGAGGTCTTACCTCAAGGTTTTACATTGAGATCTTATCTCAAAGTCTTACCTGGTTTTACCTCGGGGTCTTACCTCAAGGTTTTACCTTGAGGTCTTATCTCAAAGTCTTACCTGGTATTACCTTGAGGTCTTACCTCAAGGTTTTACCTTGAGATCTTATCTCAAAGTCTTACCTGGTTTTACCTCAAGGTCTTACCTTGAGGTTTTACTTTGAGCTTTTACATCAAGGGTTTACCTCGAGGTCTTACTTCCAGGTTTTACCTCGAGGTTGTACCTCAAGGTCTTACCTCAAGGTTTTACCTTGAGGTCTTATCTCAAAGTCTTACCTGGTTTTACCTCGAGGTCTTACCTTGATGTCTCACCTTGAGGTTTTACCTTGAGGTCTTATCTCAAAGTCTTACCTGGTTTTACCTCAAGGTCTTACCTCAAGGTTTTACCATGAGATTTTACATCAAGGTTTTACCTTTAGGTTTTACCTTGGGATTTTACCTCGAGGTTTTACAGGGTTTAAAGGATACAGGGTAAAACTGTGAGTTACCGCTTGTTTAATTTAGCATTCCCCCCTTATTAAGGCCCATGTAATACATTTTTCAATGGACAGTACTTCTCCATTTTACCTTCACTTGCACTGTGTAAGTCTTGGGGGTTTTCTGTCGCTGTGGTAAAAAATTGCTCACAATTAATCTTTTTTGGACCCCATCATGTTTGGTATAGCAATGTTCTACTGTACTTTATGTCAGAACCAAACGAAAAAACTACAAATGTTGGTCACGCTTTGATGAATCTCCATCACAGATAGCAGGCATGCAACTTGGAATTTAGAAAAAACGAGGGAATTCCTAACCACACGAGACTTTTTTTTCAATTTGTAACATTTGGCATTCATGTGGAATAAAAAATGAGAAAATCAGCGGATCTGAGGAAAACTTGCATGCCTGAGATAGTAGAGCTTAATTGGGACAGAGGGTCTGAACTCAAAAACAGAACTGACACTAAGACCAGAGTCCAAGGTAAAGATGAGGTTTTGGAAAAACTGCCTCGATCGCAACAGACCTTGTGCCGTCCACCAGCCGGATCTGGATATTGGTGACGGGCTGTGACTGGTCCACACTGACCGTCGGCTGCGCTGCACTCTCATCGTGTCTGGCTGCTGATGCTGCAGACGGGGTCGAAATGACCTGGGGAACAGGGCTGGGGAGAGAACAGTCAAGAGGTTTTTTATCTTTTTGAAAAAGGTATGAATTGGCAACAAAATGATTCCGATTTGCTGATGGCTTTACTCACTCATGATAACTCATTACTCCAAAATCATCACTCATTTCAGAAAAAAAAACCACTGAAATGTGGCATTTCTAACAACTCGTAATTGTCTTTTACACAAAGTTGAGGAAAAAAACTTTCTTTTTGTTCTCATTTTTGTTCTTTTTCTTTTTGTTCCATCACAAATGCAATAGACTTTGTAAACGTCTTTTCTGGACACGACTTTAGCATTCAGCTTTGTCATGTACCATTCAAGATAGGCATAGTCCTAAATATTAAAGTTGAATGCCGAAGAGTGACGTCATGATGACGCCATCATGGGTCATGTGATGACATCTTAACCAGTTCGCGCTGGGATCTTTAAAAAAATGTACACGACCAAGGCACGGGATAATATTTGGGTTTTTTTTATTCTGTAAAATATTCCTGTTTGATAATGCAACTAATACAACATGCCAACAGGTTATTTACATGTTTTTGCCAACATTCTGTGGCCGAGGGCGTTCTTTCTCTCTTACTAGTCCGGATGTGAAGGAATTTCAAAGGAGACTAAGGAACAATAGTGGGGTATTAATACGTCCAGGACTAACAGGGTGAAGCTGATGAATAAATGCAGACGATGGAACTAGGGTGTTGAATTGGCATGATGGCGAGGCTTACGACTACCTACGTGAAGATAATTCCCCGGTTATGGCGTAAAATTAGCTGGTTATTATTCATGGGCCCCAATTATCTCTGCTTTATAGTCAATAAATACAAAGACAAAATAAATGACAATGGAAACAGCTGACTGGAGATCGGTTACTTTCCCTTTGTTTTATATTGTGTTTCTTTTGTAATGAAATAAATCAAACTGAAACTAAGTAATTTTGCAGTCAGGAAACTTCAACAGCAAATGTTACATTGTTTTTGTAATGTAATTGCTACTGAAAGTTAGCATGCATTTGTGCAGTCACATTATTTCCAATCATGGAGTCCACACGGATACTAAACATTGCCGAATGATACAAGATACTTCAAATCATTCAAACTCAGGCTATTCAACGGAGTCCAAGCCATTATTATCACAACTCATTGACTATTCACAAAATGGCAGATGTTTCATGTCCCATCACAAATATTCTTTAAAATTGGTCGATGTGGCCATAAATCCAGGTATTCTCAACGATCAAATAATCTATTACCTTCAAGTAAATAACACCTCACCAATTATACATTAACCCTAACTTTCCGAAATCCTCCAAAATCCTCTTTGCAAAGTGGAGGATTCTGCAGGATTGAGGCTATATGTGCAGCCGCGGCTCCACAAAAAAGGGTATTAAAGCTATAGTCCATCATTTGCAGCCATCCGAAAAGTAACTGGCGTAATTATTGTTGAAAAACAAACTTGGTTGAAAAATAGTAAGGGGACTAAACTCCCTGTGAAATTATTCTTTCTGGGAAGCTGTCATTTTGAAGTTATCAACGAAAGAAGGCATTTCCAACGGTGATTCTTAAGAAGCACCGTAGGAAAATTTAAATTAGTAGTTCGTTTTGTTATTCAGCGCAGCGCGCACAAGTATTGGAACGACGCACACGCGCGCGCGGTTGTTATAATTCGTCGGATCAGTGCGCGACGTCGCGTATAGCTGCAATTCAAAACAATTCAAAACATGATTCAGTAACTTTTGATTTGAAATTGAGATCCTAGAATGCTGTTTTTCTCGGAATGTACAGCTGAAGCTTAGCTGAAGCTTAGCTGAAACTTTATCAGGTTAGTTGTTCAGTATCCTTCATTAGATTTTGAACTCTTTTGTTGCTTCAAACGAACAAAATGCACAAATTACAAATGATGGACTGTAGCTTTAAGTCGCGCTGAGCATTATTGTGTAATGGCCTGCTCAACATTGAGAGGGTGAAAATTTCGTCAAAATGTGATTTCCATTTTTGTCATGAGTGACATCTTTAATACCTACAGTTTCAGGTTTTATTCGCAGAAATGTTGATTTTGATGAGCAAAGTAAAAAAACAACCATTTTGTAAGCATTGTTCTGTTGTTCTGCAACAAAGCCAGCTATTTCAAAGCCTGTTTTCTCAGTTGTGTAATTTGAACTCTAAGGAAGAAATTAATATGCAAATAAGTCATATCTCCAGAATTGGAGGGGCTGTGGAGATCTATGGAGACCCTTTTTTGTGGAGCCGGTCACATATGGCAAAATTGGTGGCTGATTTTGAAGGAAGCACTGTGTCAAGGTCTCAAGCCGGCTAATTGACCGTGGTCATATACATGTAAATGCACTCTTGCTGAAATTTTCAGAATGGTTTTGTTTCGATCGATGCGTGTGCACGTGCGAGTCTATTTTGCATATATTACTGTCCCCAGAAAATTGTCCAAAAACGTTTGTAATGAAATTACTTGCACGAAACTAAGTAATCTTTTAGCCATACCAATGTTCAAACACAAGTCCGTTACATTGCTATCACAACGTATGGAAATAGACAACCGTTACATCAAGTCGTTATGTCTTACTCAAGCCACTACTACCCCAGACCTCACAGTTAAAGAATCATAATTGAAAGCAGCAGTAGCTAGAGTAAAAAAAAGATGACTGGATGTAACTGTTTTTATTTTTCACTCAAGTTTTTCGATTATACATTGAAAACTTCTTTTGCGATGACATACATGTAGGCGAAACTGGAGCTTAGTATTTTCTTATGAAATTACCTGGGCGACACTAAACTTAAAAGCAATGCAGGAAAAAGTTGTCAATAATCTGCTCGAGTGTGGTAGATCTTGAAGCATGGATCTATGCACAGAGGAGTGTCGCAGGTGTCGCAGGCATACCTCGTCTCGCGCCTGTGGCCCTTGGCCTTGCAAACGACACACCTTTTGCAGGGACCCAAAGTCTTCGCAGTTGGGGGAATAGCCATGGGGAAGTGCCGCCCTGTCAGTCTGTTGGGACTGGGTAGGGTATGCGGGCGACTTCGCATGGTGTACTCCGGTAAGGTTGCCTCCTGTAGGACCTCGGTTATGAGGTTCAAACGGAAATCCGTGAAGGTGGTATCGTGACCCAAGACCTTGTAGACGAGGAATGCGTTGACCAAACACAGGTCTACCAGGTAGAGAAACAGCTTCTTGTACCACTTCACCGATTTGCAAATGCAACGATGACACGATGCAAGTTGGTCAGAGAGATCGAGCCCACACTTCCCACGTTCGTATTCGGCGACACAGGACGGTTTTACCGCCACGTTGCCATCTTTGTCTTTGCTCGTGATGAGTTCCATTGAGGCGGAATGCATCGTCGAGAGAATCTGGACGTCTTTTTTGCCTCTCCAAACCAGGGCCAGCAGTCCTTCCTCGCTCGAACGAAAGGCCCGTTCTCCTCGCTTCAGCCTGACGTCTTTCAAGTCCGCTGGCATGTGTTTGCGGTTCAGCCTGACGGTACCGCAAGCGTTCGTGCGCCTGTCTCTTAGCTGAAGGAAGAAGGCGGGGCTGCTGAACCATCTGTCAAGGTAGATGTTGTAGCCACGGTCGAGGAGGTCTTCGTTGAGGTCGAGCACCACACGAGATTTGACACCTCTGTCCTCCCCGGCGTATATCTTGAAGTTCCACGTGTAGCCGGCTGCGTCTCCTGTGCTTTGACACGTTTTGTAGATTTTGTACATTCTACACTTCTGGGGGCCTTGGAACTTCCATACTGACTCGCCGGTAGTTATATCCTGCGATGGAACATACACCGTCTTGAACTTCTCCGTCAGGGCGTCGATGACTGGGCGCAGTTTGAAGAGCCGGTCGGAACCATCGTCGTCGTCGTTGTTGTTGAAGTGGAGATACCTTAGCAAGTGGAGGAATCTGTCTCTGGGCATGGTTTTGGAGAAGAACGGAGTCTCGATCATCGGGTGTCTGCTCCAGTACGACGTCAGGCTAGGTTTGGGTGAGATGCCCATCAAGATCACCAGGCACACCAGGGCTCTGATCTCGTCTGGGGTAGTGTCAGACCACATTTTACTATGACCGTCCACGTTGACTATCCCGTTGTCATTGGCGTACTTGTTAGTCTGCTCGGCAACTTTCTGGAAGAACTCGTCCGTGAGGTATTCGAAGAAGACTTTCATGGGGGTGCTATGCTCGTCGAAGTCAACAGCGAGGCCAGGACGTCCGCAAAAGTCGAACCGCCGAGGGGAGCAATCTCCGCTATGCCAAGTGATGTTGGTCTGCTGTCCTGCTGGAGTTGTCGCCGCTCGCTTTCGAGCCGGAGGAGAAGCTCCGTCACTGCTCTCACCCGAACTTGAAAAACCAGATTGCGAGTCAGACGAGAATTCGTCCGAGCCACTGGAAACTAGGTCGTCGGTCCGAGTACGATTATTACCGGAGCAACGTTTCGACCACGTGGACAGGGATGAGATTCTGAAAAAATGAAAAAAAAAGTCGGAAATTTCTCCGTCATGGGAAGTGAGTAAGCGTGCAGCCCGAAAAAAGTCTGTATGATTAACTTATCAAACAGCACTGCAAGGTATTGGCAAAGGCTTGGACTGAAAAGTTGGAACTGAAATTCAAAGTCGGATTTTCAAAGTCCCAAAGTCGGAATTCTGCCTTAAGTCGAAAGAATCTCATCCCTGTTGGTGGACGCCATGAATGGATGTAATGTGTAACTGCACAAATGAATGCTAACGTTCAATAGCAATACATGCTTAGCTGCATCCGTTGTGACGAAACATATTAGGTGTTCTGTCGACAGTAACATTTCCCTTCTAAATAGGAGCTGAGGCATTAAGGAGAAATTGAAATGTCTCCCTAATTCCACATGTCTTCCAAAGGTAAACCTCCTATGCAAAAGTGTCTTTCAAATGATGCAATTTGCAATACAGGGTGAGTAAAAAAAAACGAAACCTGAATGGCGGGACCATTGTTTTAGTGCAGTTCTGCATGTAGCACTTTCAAAATCTAGGATATGAAAGCCCAATTCATAAGCTTTCTTTTAGTACAAGAATCATTCGAATCACTCTTGTACTTTTCAACTTACGGAATTTTTAAACACAACCACCGTTTTTAAGTTCTGTCCACGGATCACAAAAAGGTACGTTTTCTTTCAGCAAAACGAAAACAAATCCCACAGGGATGTCTGTGAGTTGTTTTCGTTTTCCTGGAAGAACGCACACCTTTTTTTGTGATCCGTGGACAGAACTTTAAAATGGTGGTTGTGTTTGAAATTCCGTAACTTGAAAAGTACATGAGTGATTTGAATGATTCTTGTACTAAAAGAAAACTTATGAATTGGGCTTTCATATCCTAGATTTTGAAAGTGCTAAATGCAGAACTTCACAAAAACAACAGTCCCGACATTTGCGTGTTTTTTTTTTCTCACTCTGTAGTAATAATAATAATGATAATAGTAGGTCGTACCTGCCCAACATGTTGCCGTGACCACTGAACGGTTCGACCTTGACCTTTGGCCTGACGTACTCCTCGTCCCGATGATCCTCCAGGTCAAGGTTCACCTCCCCGCCTTTGGACCCCTGGATCAGCTCCATCGGAATTTTGCTGAGCAAGAGAGGAAGAACGAACCCAGTTTGGGCGGTAACTTTCTCGTAAAGGAACTTTTGCTTGACAAAAAAATGAAACAAAATCACCGACAAAATTGTATAAAAGGAATTCGTGTTGTTACACAGTGGTGTCACTGTTCATTCACAGTAACCTGACTAGTGACCTGATCTGTGATTGACTTGTGGTTGACTTGTGATTGACTTGTGATTGACTTGTGACTGACTTGTGATTGACTTGTGATTGACTTGTGACTGACTTGTGATTGACTTGTGATTGACTTGTGATTGACTTGTGATTGACTTGTGATTGACTTGTGATTGATCCGAGATTGACTTGTGATTGACTTGTGATGGACTTGTGGTTGACTTGTGGTTGACTTGTGATTGACTTGTGACTGACTTGTGGTTGACTTGTGGTTGACTTGTGGTTGACTTGTGGTTGACTTGTGATTGACTTGTGATTGACTTGTGATTGACTTGTGATTGATCCGAGATTGACTTGTGATTGACTTGTGATTGACTTGTGATGGACTTGTGATGGACTTGTGATTGACTTGTGATTGACTTGTGATTGACTTGCGACTGACTTGTGACTGACTTGTGACTGACTTGTGATTGACTTGTGACTGACTTGTGATGGACTTGTGATTGACTTGTGATTGACTTGTGATTGACTTGCGACTGACTGGTGATTGACTTGTGACTGACTTGTGATTGACTTGTGATTGACTTGTGATTGACTTGTGGTTGACTTGTGATTGACTTGTGACTGACATGTGACTGACTGATAACAGACTTGTAAGGCCAAATTAAAAAAAAAAACACCATGTTTAGCGTCCCCGCCCACTTCCTTTTGGGTTGCCGCCTACTTTTTTTAACCCAAAAAATGATAAATTTTAAACAGTGACATCATTTTGGCCTCTGCGCCTGTGCATCTAGCCCATATAAAGCTGGTCATTTCCCGAGTCCAAGTGGTGACTATTAAAAAAAAAAGCTGGCGGCCATCTTGAAAAATAGTCATGTCGGGCGCTAAACATGTTTTTTTTTACTTGGCTTAATTGATTTGTGACTTACTTGTGATTGACTTGTGACTGACTTGTGACTGACTTGTGATTGACTTGTGATTGACTTGTGGTTGACTTGTGATTGACTTGTGATTGACTTATGATTGACTTGTGATTGACTTGTGACTGACTTGTGATTACTTTGTAACTGACTCGTAATTGATTTGTGACTTGTAATTCACCACAACACTGGTGAAACTTCTTGGACATAAACATTTCCAGAAATATTGGAACTGCGAGTCTCACCCTTGTGAGATATCGTTGAGGAAGGCTGCATTCTGCGGAGCCTTCATGTCCCTCAGCTCCCCATCATTCACACTGAATCCATTCTTCCACAACTTGAGAACAATGTGCGTCTGAGAATTTGTGAAACAAACAAAAATGATAAACTGTCTCAAACGAATGACAGTACATTTTGAAATGAATGACAGCCCTCAAACAATTTTATGATTGTGTTTTTAATAATTGCAATGATAGAATACGCACAGTATGAGGAAAACTTTCAAAACTCAAGGTACCAATAAAAAGCTTATTACCAAACCAAACAGGGGCGGATTGCAATAACGCAGTCTTAGTCGGCTGGCTAAACCAGTCCAATTTTAGCCGGCTATTGTTCTTAGACGGTCTTGGTTAAGACACCAAACTCAGCCCATTGCAATAAGCTGGTCTTTACTAAGCCCGCTTAGAGTAATGATTCACAAACAAACATTCCATGGTTACGGGCGAATACTGGAGAGACTGCACATTTTTTTTTTTTTAGGTTTGTGTAATTCATATCACGCGAAATCAAATGTCAATTCCGAAATTTTATGTTGAGAAAATTGTGTTTGCAATACAACTCAGTGTCATTACATTTTTCCAGAAGATCCCTTCTATCCCAGAGAATTTTCCCTCCAAGCAGTGTTCTGCTTTTTTAAGATTTAATCATCAAACACTCATCAACTGGGAAAAATATTTTGAGAAAGAATAATTCAACACACCAGTGAATTCCAAAAATCCCAACTATAGACCGTTTTAAGCCAGCCCAACCCAGGCTAACTATTTTAAGACTGTCTTAATACTTAGACCGTGTCATTGCAATGGTCTTACTTATAGACTGACTGACAGCCAGAGCTTTTAGACTGTCTAATGCACATAGACAGCTTTAAGACCGGTTATTGCAATCCACCCCAGAAGTTCAATTTGTTGTCGTTTAGTCACTTAATTTCAAGGGATCTCCTGTGAGAAAAATTCACCATAAATGCTTTGACTTTATCCAATAACAGCACAGAGTTGACGAATGACCCCATCTCAATGTAACATGAGACCTAGAATCACCCAACCCTATTGAAAATAAAATCCAACATTTCTTCCTCCACTATTAACTACGTAGTTTGAAAAAAAAAAAATTGGTTTACTGACCCCTCCCGATTCCTTCGCAGGGAGTGTGCCCGCCGTGCCGGGCTCCGGTCTCACCGGTCCCGTGTTCTCTGAGTCCCCTAGCCGGTAACCGGCACCTTTGAAGACGTAACTGCCGGAAGAAGCGTCCGGCGAGGTCGATGACCCCGCGCCGACCTCCTGGGCTCCGTGGCTGAGACGTGATGAATAAAAAAATACATGTGACTTGTTCTGTCAAATCGAGGCGTTTCTAAGCAGAGCTTGAAACTGAGATGACTAAAAAAGACGTTGTGGGTTGATTTTTTAAATTTTCATTGGGTTTTTTTTTGGCAAATTTTTTTGACAACCTCAAGTATGTAGAACATAGTGTAAATGTTTTAGATTAGATAACTTTTCCTAAAAAACCTGATTTTTCAGGTGCAACTCATTCGGTGAAATCCATTTTAAGGCAGTTTAGAAATTTGACACTGGGTTGATTTTCCCCAATTTTTTTTTAGAAAATTGTGAGATATTTAAAGCATGTCCAACATTAGCTCTACTGAGTGGAGCGTTGAATTACGGGTACCCCTCCATACAAACGCTCCACCGATTTGCCATACTTTGGTAGCACCATACACGGTCGTCATGACGGTATGCATTTTGTGCATGCCCTCGCGAGGACAAGGCCCAAAAAAACTGATAAAGAAAATACAAATGAGGAAGACAGTAACCCTGGATAGATCCACACATTCATGACATTCCATATGACCCCTCAAATTGTTTCCAACAACCGGTAATTTTGAAAAAAGAACAAAATAGTCTGAACTTACCGCTCACAATTAAATGTGTCTGCCGAGTTGCACAGTCTATTTCACTGACATGACTGATGCATAATTCATTGCGCGCGTGTGTGACGTCACTATTGAAGAAAAACAAGTTGCGCTTACTCAATAGCTGTTTTATGTAGTCTTTTTTCCCCTGTGCCGTCTGACTGTGGGTTTTTGGTGCGGGGCACATATCAGTACATGAAACAGTCATTGATTAAGCGCGACTTGTTTTTCTTCAATAGTGACGTCACACACGCGCGCAATGAATTATGCATCAGTCATGTCAGTGAAATAGACTGTGCAACTCGGCAGACACATTTAATTGTGAGCGGTAAGTTCAGACTATTTTGTTCTTTTTTCAAAATTACCGGTTGTTGGAAACAATTTGAGGGGTCATATGGAATGTCATGAATGTGTGGATCTATCCAGGGTTACTGTCTTCCTCACTTGTATTTTCTTTATCAGTTTTTTTGGGCCTTGTCCTCGCGAGGGCATGCACAAAATGCATACCGTCATGACGACCGTGTATGGTGCTACCAAAGTATGGCAAATCGGTGGAGCGTTTGTATGGAGGGGTACCCGTAATTCAACGCTCCACTCAGTAGAGCTAGTCCAACATATGAAGACATTATTTTGAAAACGTGATATACAAAAGCTGTTGGCCATAGCCTAGTGATTTTGCAGCGATCTTCTTTCATCCTTTGGGATTATTCGATCTTGGTTTATTTAATTATTTTTTTGAATGAGTTTACTGTGTGAACGACTTACTCTCTAGCACTTTTGAAGAGGTCGTTGATCATGTTGTCTGTGTTGTTCTTTTTTCTCCGTGGACCCACAACTTGCTGCCCGCTAAAGAGAGAGAAAATAGTAAATTACTGGAAATTTGAAACCCCACGGCTGAGTTAGAGTTGACTAGCCCTACACCCCATTTTTTTTCTGGAGGCACCCTGCCAAATGCAAACAAATTCGGGAAAATCATACCTTCCGTGGTCGGATCCCCCAGCATAAAACGTCTGTCCTTCCTCCCCACTGTCGCTATCGGCCTCTGCGTCTTTCGCAAAATCGCTGACGGTGTGAAAGCGGGACGGGGGTTTTGTTGCCGAGCCTGTCCTCCCCCCTGTACCCCGCGCGGCCACCGGCGCCGCTTCTGGCTCCGGCTCCTCGCCGAACAGGTCAACGAGCTCGGGCTGTTGCCGTCCAGCTGTGTTGGGGTCGTCTGAAGCTTCGTGGAACATGACGCCATCGTCGTCACCGCCGTCGTTGTCATAGAAGCTCCCCAATGCAATCTGAGATACAATCGGGATAGCACACGGGCGCAGATTGAATTCATCTAATGATATAAATATGGGCCTTTAGTTGTTATTCTGACTTAACAAATATTCAGTGATTGATTGATTTACAAAGTAAAAGTTTAATTAAGCACGGCGATGTCGGAAATAGGTATCCAACACATTGTCTGATTGTCATAATGCACAAAATCATTCATTCCGAGTGTGCACACATTATGCATGATTACTCAAAAACTAATACAATCTGCAGCATCGTTTCTCGATGTTAGAATTCTACCTGAAGTTGCCAACCAGAGGACTCCAGATAAAACTTCGCTCTGTCTGCATCTACGCCGGTAACACCAGCGAAATCGGCGATCAAACTCGCTTTTTGTGCTTCGTCCGCCATGATGAATCAGCTGAATAGTCACCTCTCGACGCTTGGTGGCAGTATTTCAAAACAATGGTGAAGGGGGCGGGGCAACTCCTTTCTTTTAATTTGCAGGGTGGGGGTAAGAGCGAACTAATTTCCATGAATTTCCTTTTCAACCCTCCCACACAAAAAGGCGAAAATGTAGAAAATAACTTGGCATTCAAAATCCAAATGGGTATATCTTATTTTACACACCCAGATAGGGCCTATATTGTTGTTTTTTGTGTGAAAAGCCGACCCAGATAGGGCATATATTGTTTTTTGTGTGTGTGAAAAGCTCTTATTTCTAAAAAAAAATTTTTTTTAAAAATGAACGTGTATCATGCAGAAATCAAACGTAGATAGAAAACATGGACAACTGACAGTGTCTATATATTAAATGGAGATCAATGATAAAACCACAGTTATGTTTCTTTCCGACATTTTATTTCAAACTATATGACACAAGATGCAAAGCGCCCTCATTTGTCTAAGATAGACACAAGTTAACGTTTACTCATTCCTTGACTCTGAATTAAGAGGTTTGATCCATACAACAACAAAAAATTGTACATGTCATGAAGCACCTTCAACATTCTGGGTACACTGGAATATTTAAATACATGTATTAAAATAATACTCGCATTATGTTATTGTTTACTTGTGGGTTGTGACCAAAATGTATGAGAACCCATTTGACTTAGAACTACAAAGTATTCTAACTTCACTGAGATAATCCTCACCTTGATATAAATATTTACATGTATCATACAAAGAGCATCCTAAACTACCCTTAACCCATTCTGTTCTGTCCAAGGCTGGGATCATGGTAGCCCCATCAATGTGGCCAAATTAAAATAATAAAGACCACAGAAGCACTTTGTCAAATTTGGATTTTCACATTTAGACGTTTATTTATGCTTTAGAAGCATACTCACCCTCTTTATAGCGACAGAAAAGTAAGTTTTTCAGACATCTACTTTTCGTGTAATTTCACGATGGAATTTAGATACATGTATGCAAACGTGTGAAAACGAACCTTGAAATTACACGAAATAGGGATGTCTGAAAAAGGGGGGACTACTTTTTTATCGCTTTAAAGAGGGTGAATGTGCTTCTAAAGTGTAAATAAACTACAAACAAAGCCTAAATGTGAAAATAAAAATCTGACAAAGTTCTACATTTTTGGGTACATGTTCCAAGTGTGGCCTTTATTTACAGTTTAATATGGGGCTAGGATCATGGGTGCAGAACAACATGCAATACAAAATCAAGCCCATTTTACTCTCGCTTTAGTTGACAAAATTCTTCACAATTTTCATGAGGCAAAGACAAGATTCTCAATATTTTACCAGCCAAATTTGAAATGAAAACGAAGTCTCAATTCAAGTTTTAAAGGAGACTTTTCTTCAACATCTTGCACCTGAGAGTGAAGCCTAGTGATTCCAATTTGAAGCCCAAGGCTAGACTGGTATAATTATGTCCAAAATTTTTGAAAAAGTTTGACTCTTCAGCAGTCTGGTGGCATGATGGCCAACAAGTGATGGATAGATTGTTTAGAAATAGAGACTAGGTACCACGTTTCTTTTGACACAGTTGATTGATGCAGTGCTGAAAGGGTTGGACTGGTTATTTCATGTGCCAGTCTATTTTCTTGTATTGCATGTTTTCACTCTCCAAGGAAACCCACTTCTGGACAGCTATTTTTACCAACTTGTTGAGCATATTTCAAAAGTTCAATTTAATGGTATTAAAATATTGATCTTTAAACATGTGAAAAAAAAAATGATAACTAATGCATAATAGGGAGGTTTTGCAAGCGAACGGATACGCTTACACTTACGCTTAGCTATCCGTATCCGTTTTTTACATACGTGTAGCGAGCGAGATATGCGTGTCGTCTGCACGTTTAGCGGATAGTGAGTGGCGTATGACGTCATACGTGCAGACGACACGCATATCTCGCTCGCTACACGTAAGTAAAAACGGATACGGATAGCTAAATGTGAGTGTAAGCGTATCCGTTCGCTTGCCAAACCTCCCTATTGTCTTTGAGATACATGTATGGTTTAAACAATTTCATGTGCCAAACTTGTTTGTGCACAGAGGGCCTTATTTCATCCGCTTGACTGAGCTCCTGAGCTTCATTTGAAGAATAAAAACACTACACTAGACTTACACGCAGACAACAGTGATTTTGGTGACTTGTATTCAAATTAGCATGATAATACTATTCTTGCAATTTTTTTCACCTTGTATGGTTAAAGAGCTATACTTCACTACTTTATTAAAAAAAGTTTAAATAAGTTATTAAAGTAGGTTAAAATTCCGGTCAAAAGTGGGTTTCCTTCTTTTTGCGCCACCCTGTAATACACAGCATACTGAGAGTTTTAAATTATTAGAATAGTTCCGCCCTAAACTGCCCTGCTGTTACTTCATGTACTGCCCAAAACTGCCAAAGCACCGTTGAATCTTCAGTGAACAAATACAATATATAGTAGTACTCGATCACCCAATAACTTGACTTGTCTTGTTTAAATTGACTAAAATTTGTGGGAACATTTTGTAGGAAGAGTACTTGTAGCAGATATAAACCCAAAACGAATTTGGAATTTAGATTTTGGAAATGAATGATTTGGTCAGTTTGTTTTTCAAAATAATATGCATTTATGGACAGTGAAGTGATATTGATCCAAAACTCAAGATAAAAACACGCATGCCTTTACTGCCGATATACATATTTTTTTTTTAAGTCACAATTAAGGGAAATGATAAAGGAAACAGATTTTCTATACCAAAATGATACTGTTGACAGGCAAAAATTCTCTTAACTAAATCTAAAAAATATTTAAAATGGAAACAGGTTCAAGAAACATACATGAACAAAAAATCCTCGACGAGAGAAATAAAATGTACAATCTTCAAGGTATGTAAATATTTTGTACAAATTAAAGGATTTCAGTCAAACAGAGCCTGTGTCTTGGTTGGTTACAATATCTCCGTTCATATTGTCAGATCCGTTTTCCAGCTCTGTGGTTGCAACTTTCATGTTCTCATCGTTCTTAACGAGCCGGGCAAAGCGGACGCCGCAGAAAAGCGCCGCGGCCAACAGCAACGAGCAGATGATGAAGATGTGCCGGGTCCCTGCCTGGGAGTAGTTGCCGTGCAGCAGCATGAGCAGCGCGCAGGCGATCAGGTTGAGCGGCACCCGGAACCAGTTCATGATCCCCGCCCGATGGGTTTCGGGGAGCACCTTCCCCCGCAGGAAACCCATGGAGGGGAAGTAGAGACCGCAGGCCAGCTCAAGGAGCAGGAAGGCCACATAGGATACCGCGTGCTGATGGCGGTAGGACAGGATGCAAGTGAGGGTGGATAGTAGAGCTAGGAGGATGGAGCCGTTGACGATGTTGTAGGCGGGTATCCCCCGCTTGGACAGCAGCTCGTAGAGGTTGGAGCCGATCATGATGCAGGCCATGAAGCAGGAGAAGATCAGTCCGAGAGGTGCCGTGGGAGGCATGTCTAGGACCGGCGTCCAGATGAAGATGAAGATGTACATGACACTCTCAAAGAGTGACTGCATGGCCCCGATCAGCAGCATGCGGCGAGAGTTGACGATGTGACGCAGCCCTTCTGTGCAGGACTTGGAGATCTTGACCTTCTTTGCTCCGTTGTTTTCGCTCCAGGAGGATGCCACTACAGCCCCTGAGGCTAGCAGCAAGGGGATGGCAAGCATGAAGGGAGCGACAGGACCGAGGCGCAGAACGCCCACCAGTACATTAGATGCCAAACCGGCTCCGATGGCCAAGACGCCATTCCAGAAGGTTGCCTTGGAGAAGGTCAAAGCCACCCACTCCTTAGGGAAGTCGTGGGATTCGACATGCTCATGGAGGTACCAGGCTTCGTAGGCGGTGAACAGCAGTGAGGTGGATATACCGCCCAAGATCCGACCCAAAATCAGGATGTAGTAGCTGTAAGACAGCTTGGTGATGCACGAGATGGAGTAGATGATGGAGAAGGTGATGCAGAGTTTCTTACGGCCGCAATGGTCTGCTAGGGCGCTGGTGGCTGTGCCCAGGATCACGCTGGATGCAAACCCACAGACATACAGCACAGCAATCTGGGGTTCTTGGAACCCGTAGTGGCGGTAGAGTTTATAGAGATACGGTCCCTGCAGCCAATCCGCCGTCAATGCCAGGAAGTAGGCTACAAAGTACTTCCGTTGGAATTGCACGAAATTTGGGTTGTGTCCCGTCGTCTCCTTAGGCCGCCTCCGACTGACGAAGAAGTGCAACACCCCGCACAGGGCAAGAAGCGCGGCAAAACTGGCTACGTATGACGCAAGGTACATTGACATACTGGACACAGAGTCTGAATTCCTTGCTTGATACAGTTATATTTCTATAATTAAGACTGCAATACGGCCTTTGTCAAACTCATTTGAAAATAGACTTGTTGCAATGGATGGCAACATTCAATAAGCATTGGTAAAACTTCACCTCAATCAAAACTCCAAAGAATTTTGGCCGAGTACATGTATCTTCCAACAAATGGGTTCGTGTGCGAAGAGGTCAACAGACATTGAACATGTTGAAGATTATTACACCATGCTGGAGTCGATTTCAAGATGCTACTGGAACTGAAGCAATGGAAGCTAAAGTTGCATTCGGATGTCCGCCAACATGTATCTTGCACTAGACACTGGAATAAAAACCCACAAAGTCAACAGAATTAGCTCAAATGTAAAGATACATGAAAAAAAAAATATTTTATCGTCATTATTATTTATTCTGATATTACCTTAGTGAATTTTTCAAATATTTTTGGGGAAAGATATTTCACGAACAATCTAGTAACTACTAGTGCTACTAGTACACCTTCCTATTTACTAGTCCGAGTAACTTGGACCCAACTTATCGCCTTTTTTAACATTTGGACATGGTCTCATATTAAAAAAATATAATTCAACACGTTTTCCGTAATGTGGGCCCCCGCCTGGCGCTCGCCCGGCCCGTTCGGACAACACGGAAGCCTCGCGCTGCTGCGACTAGAATGCGAAGCGCCGCGCCGGTCGTTTTGATTTTTGCCCAATGCGCCTCTCCATGACTACAAAACCCACTTTCAAAATGTTAAAATTGCAATCTCGGAAAACAATGCATCCTAAAATACCAGTCATTTGTAAACATGAAAAAACTAACTAGGGATGAAGATATTATTACGTTGTCCTGTTGTCCGGTTGTGGAGTTAAATTTTCAAGTTTCCAACGTGGAGGCAGCCATTTTGATTGCCGTATTGCATTGTGGGAAACTTGATGATCGATTGAGTCGGAAATAATATCAGTGATCGATTTATCGATGGTGGGACAGTTTATCCATATTGAGGAATCCTCCATTACATAGTTTATCTCGTGTATGCAGTAGTTTCCTTTGTGAAATTTGAAATTAATATATTTAAAACTAAGAAAATACAATGGTTCCATGATGGCGGTGGAATTGAGTGGGGGTAATTGGAACGGGTCATGGATATGGTTTATGGTTGCAATTAAAAATTGCTCATCCGGTGTAGCATGAATTAAGGTTTTATGAAATACGGACTCCTTGGTGGTATTACGCATGCTCATGCATAGATAATTAGGAGAGGGACCGGTCACGTGAGAGGGTTTAACCAATAAAAGGGAAAAAGAGTCCGATTTTCATACGAGTCCGATTTTCATATGACACCGGCCCTCTTGCCGAATCTGACAAGGAGGAAGATATCCGGAGGGATGGAGGGACAGTGGCGCAGCCAGGATTGGTGGGTTTTTGGGGGGGGGGGGGGGGCTCCTTTTTTTTTTTAAATGTTGCCCAAAATTATTGGCCACCAAAAAAAAATTGGATTTTTTTTCCGGGGGTGGGCGGACTATTTTGACGTTGGTGGCGCCACTACTCAAAAATAGGCCGAATATCGTGAGACTAAAAAAAAAATTACTACAAAAAAAAATGACAACCTGTTGGGGGGGAGCTCAAGCCCCCGAGGCCCCCCCCCCCCCCCCCGGTGCGCCACTGTGGAGGTGGGGGGGGGGGGGTCCCCGCATGGCATATTATATTGAGCTATGAGAAGGCAAATAATGAGCAGGCCTCCTTGAAAATGATACCCCTTTCCCTTAGATCAACAGATGCGTTGTATTTTCGTATGGATTTCTTAAAATCGTTTTCAACTACATGGGACGGCTAGGATCTTTGTCCATGTCTTGATTTTTCTCCATTTATAACAGGAGGCAAAACAATTACATTTATCGCCATGAAAAAAACCAATATTAGAGATCAAGTGTTTGAATGTATTTCATAGTGTTCTGAGTTTTTAACAAATACAAATTTGCAATGTTAAAAGAGGGAACATTTTAAAACCTAAATAAAAAAGAAAAAAGAACCGCATAGACGTTTTGCTGAATAACGGAAGAGCTAGGGCAAAAGTCGAAGAAAATCTATGCTATCGAACAAAGGGAAATATGAGTAGAAAATTTTTCATTAAAAGTAAGAGTCCAGTTTAAAGGGAATATACATCATTTGCTTTTGCTGTAATTTTCAGAAATGGATGGAATTGGGGGTTGGAAATATAAAGCAAATATAGTTACACTGACTTTTTGGAGGTTTTGGGATCGAAAATGCTATAAAAACCAAGAAAAACGATCATTTTCCTGTAGCCCTGACTCCATATAAGAAGAAACAGAGCAGTTTACATACATTGGGGAATTGTAAGGTCAGGGAACCAGTCTAGCTGGCTCGTACCCGTTCATAGGTTTGTAATCGATTGCAAACAAGTGCAATGGTCAATTGGGGCCAGTATTTGAAAAAAAGCCAGTTGTTTCCAACGCTGATCGGCCGATCAGCGTTGGAAATAGATACAAAAATACCACTTTTCTTGAAAATGACAGTATACCAGGTGCCATCATTTTACAGGATGCTTTAGACTGTCATTTACCAACATCCTATTAAGGAATTTCGCAAAAACTTGGTAGTTTTATTTTTCGATGTTTGCAAATGTTGTATATTCCCTTTAACTACGGGGGGGGGGGGTTCGGAGAAAGTTTGCTTCGTCTTTCGGCTTCGGCTTTGCCTAGGCCCTAAAAATCCCGACTCCATTCACTGGGAGGGAAACTAAACAACAATATTCCAACTTGTGGCTTCATATTAACCGATATAATGTTCCTGAAGCATAAACGTTGCTGGAATTCCAGAAGTTGGGGCATAAAGCAAAGGCCATTCAGTCGAAAATACTGATGTACCAAAATACAACCCAGTTACGTGTTAAGACAGTGAGCCAGTCTATACTATTTATCGTCTGGTACCCTATCCGGTACCTGTACACTCAGAGGAGAAAGACGGGTTCCTTGAAACTCACTACACAGTGCATCGGTCTTTTCCCAGTGTGCTGTTGCAACTTTTACGAACAGGGGTGAGGGTCGTCGTAAATTCGCTTTAAATCCCTGCAAAGTATCTGCCATCACTTTCCATATGGATCAAATTTCGATTCATCAAAATATGTAGAATCATTAACTGATAAGATTTGTGGAATATTATTTGTTTCCATGTAGCAAATTTCGGGATATTTTGGGGCCTGCTTACATTTTGTACACACGCATTGCATACATGCAGATTTATGTTGTACACAAGTAAGTGCCAATGAGTGTCATTGCATACATTTGTGTTCATCGTCTACCCGCCTATCCTGTGAATTACCCATTCCAATGTGGTGTTGAAGAGTCAAGGGAAGAATAGAAGGAAAGAATGTGGCCCCACTCCCAGATCTCGTTAGCTTTGTAGTCTCGTTCAAGTCGTCCAGAATAGAAAGACAAATTTTAAAGTTTTTTTTTTCGAAGTGGCTATCGTTACGGCACTCGTTGTTTAGCGCCCTCTACGATATTTTTTTGATACGCACGCAGGTATATAATTATTTGTTCCCCTTCGTTTTATCGAGCAGTGCGCCAGCTCAGCCGATAGAGGGTAGGATTTTGCACCGCGAGGTTGCGGGTTCGAATCTCAGTTTTGCACTCGAATTTTTTTCCTTTTCTAACCTGAGGCTTTGGAGGATTTTTTTTAAAAGGGAAATAAAGTCTGAATTTCATAAAGTTCAAATTCACTTTTTTCCTTCTAATTTTATATTTTCTTGTCATGTTTTTTTATAAAAGTTGCCAGGTTGCAGTCTACCGTAACGATAGAAAATGGGAAATGCGTTACGGCTGCCGTAACAATAGCCACTGCGTTTTTTTTTTACAGAATTGGAAATGTTTCTCGGTCCCAGATTCATGTCTTTACAACATGTTTGCAATGACTAACCCCTATCAAGCATGTCAAGTATCATGTATAATATATGATGGAAAAAGTGGCATCAGGATGCAAAATTCATGACATTCTGTCTTCTTTCATGTCTTTACTTTAGTAAACCACTGACAACGCCCAATGGCCAACAATTAGTGAATTGAACAACTGATTTGCGCTGACTTAGGCCTACCACCATTGTCACTTATTTTAAAAACAGTTTGAAAAGATTGGATACTAATTACTATGACAAGGCCGTAGATTTCGTTAAAAAAAGGGAGTTTCATTTGTGTGCACGTGGACTTTTTATTTAGGTCCTATTTGGTTATCAAAGTAAGGAGCCTAAGTGATTTTTTGCAGTAGGGATAAGTTCAGGGAAGAAGGTTATGTCACGTCCCGGCAAAACATGCACCTCCCTCCCCCCTCCCCCCCCCCCCCCCCCCCCCCCCCCCCCCAAAAAAACCCACCAAACACATTTCCTTATTAAACCCAAACCAGTTCAGTACATGTGGAAAGAAAGAAAGAAAGTCTTTGGAGAGCCATGAAAAGTAAATTAACTTGGAAAAATATTTTAAAATCCGGAATTTTTTTTTGCAACCTGACGCCACATCAGCGGTTGTGTACAAAGTCTGTGGAGAGTCAAGAAAATTTCATAAGTATTTCCTAACAAAACTGGGAAAGTTTTTCAGTCCCAGATTCACGTCTTAAAACTCTTATCATTTTTGCAATGACTGACCTTCATTGTGATGATGTATGAAGAAAAAAGTAGCATCAGGTTGCAACATTTTTTCCCTCAGTCCAAACATGTTTGAAATAACCAACCAGTGTCGCCTGTATGAGGTTAAAACGGGGTCTAACCGATCTGCCCCAATACGATACCTGTGTTCCCCAATTGTTTTACTGATGTTCCCTGGATTAGGGTTAGGGTTGGGGAACATAGGTATGGGGGAACATAGGAATTCACCCAGTAAAACTACAAGTGGGTTCAGAGTACTGCATTCAGTCCCTCTCTAATATGAATCTGTGATTCTGTATATCTTGTAATATTTTTATATATCAGCCAGTGGAGAAGTGTAATAATATAAAATAAAGTAAATAAAAACAATACTCTATTGTGTGCAAACTGGACTTGCACATTGGCTACTGACTTTACTACAGATTTCTACCAGCTACCGTTAAAAATGTTCTATGTGCCTCCTCAAGATCATTGATGTATTTGCACCGTTCTTTGCAGGACATAACCCCGAGGCTTTTAATCAAGATGGGGGCCTACAAGTACATGCAAGAGCTCCACCGCAAGAAGCAGTCCGACGTGATGCGCTTTCTGAAGCGCGTCCGCACGTGGAACCTGCGCCAGCTGTCGTCTGTTCACCGCGCCTCCAGACCCATGCGGCCAGACAAGGCCAGGAGAATGGGTTACCGGGCAAAACAAGGTACCGTTGGCAATCGGGCCAGGTTTTTTCTGTGAAAACCGTGTAATCAATAATTTTGGTTTAATCCTAACCTTCCTCAATCTTCCAAAATCATCCTTGTGGTTTTGGAGAAATTTGGAGGATTGAGGCTGAATGGTATTTTTCAGAAAAGGATTTTGGAGGATTGAGGCGGAATGGTATTTTTTCAGAAAAGGATTTTGGAGGATTGAGGCTGAATGGTATTTTTTTCAGAAAGGATTTTGGAGGATTGAGGCTGAATGGTATTTTGAGGCAGGACTGTCTGACGATTTTGAAGGATTGAGGGGCTGGGTACCCTTCATTTGAACATAGGTGCAACATTTTTGGATGAGGAGGATTATGGAGGATTGAGAATGAATGCATTTTGAGGCAGGACTGTCTGAAAATGTTGAAGAATTTAGGCGCTGTTGTAAAATTTTGGAGGATTTTGGAGGATTGAGGATGATTCCTAGCAAAAAGGCCTAGGGGGTTAGGGTTAATGAACTGACACCCAGGTGTGTGTGCACGCCTGCCGCACACACCTTGGACACTGAAGCGTAATAAAACAATTTTCGTTTTCAGGAAAAGACTCGCAAGCAAACAGCATGTTTCGGCAATACCATTCGGAGAAAAAGCTTTGAAAGGTTCGACACAAATTAAATCCATCCATACACTTGTGGGCTTATTAAAAAACTTTTTTTACTGGTGAAGTTAAGATCAGTATCAGTTCTTGAAAACATAAGAGTACGGGGTGCACACTAGAAGTGCCGCACAGTGCCGGGTGTCAGTTGGTGAACACGAAAATAATGCGGTTCTGTAAAATAAGTGCACATGCGCAGGATTAGTGTTAAACTTTAAGTGCAAAGAATGTCCCATAATGACAAAACTATGTCCAAGCAAAAAGCATGTTGCGGCAATACCATTCGGAGAAAAAGCTTTGAAAGGTTTGACGCAAATTAAATCCATCCATACAGATGTAAGACATCTGCACTAGAAAGCAGGAGGTTGTGGGTTCGAGTCCCACCCGAGTGATTTTTTCCAACTTTCACTCGGGAGGTAACACACTGAGTATACAGTGTTTAAAAAACGTCGGTGAAGGGCAAAACCTAATTTGATTGACAAAACTATGACTATCATAAAGTTGTCATAGTTCAGTTGGTTAAAACAGACAGTTTGACAGTTAAGAATGAGTTTTACAGTTTTTCTTTGAAACAACAACAAAATCCCACAATTCACCCTTTCCCCTCCAGGATATGTCATCTACCGTGTGCGTGTGCGACGCGGGGGTCGCAAGAGGCCCGTGCCGAAGGGCGCCACCTATGGCAAGCCCACCAACCAGGGTGTGAACCAGCTGAAGTTCCAGCGCAGTCTGCAGTCAGTTGCTGAGGTAAAGCAAGCTTCTTCTCAACGACTCGCAAGTCACACTTATCTCGCCCCCCCCCCCCCCCCCCCCCCAAAAAATAACAAGTTTCCAGAATTAGACCAAAATGCGGTGAGCAATATCTGCAACAGTCTGAGTTTGTGGCATTTTCATAACTGGGCCCTTAACTCTTTCGCTACGGCGAGCCGCTGACAGCGGCACACAAAAGTTGTACATGTCGTACGGCAAGCCGCTTGCAGCGGCTCGGTGACATCGCTGTGACTAAACAGGGTGTCCCCATGACGTGTGCCTTATTAACATAATTTATATCGTATAACCTCTGACCCTAGTTTGAGCCACTGCTAGCGGCTCTCCGTCTGGCCGGGGTCTGCTGCAGGTTATTGTGAGCAGTTTGTTTACAGAGAGACATTTAAAGATGGCGGCGTCCACATCAACACATGGCGGAATTTTCAGCGATATATTACGTACAAACTTGAAAAAAATCGGGTAATTAAATTCCGTAGCGAAAGAGTTAATACTGTGTTATCCCTCTTCTGCTGAAAAAAAGTCCTTTTAATACTGTGTTATCTCTCTTCTGCTTAAAAAAGTCCTTTTAATACTGTGTTATCTCTCTTCTGCTTAAAAAAAGTCCTTTTAATACTGTGTTATCCCTCTTCTGCTTAAAAAAAGTCCCGTTTATATGTTGTCTTATATAAGAAAACTGTACAAACAAAAAGTGAGTAACCCTCCTGCTGCTTCAAAGGTCACATATGATCAAAATTTCCTTCCTCTCCCCAGGTACACGCTTGAAAAAACCTATGTGGGTCTTGACCAATGTTGACCCAAGTAATAACACGGCTCAGAATGCCGTTTTCATAGAACGGTAAATTAAAACAATCGTTGACTTGTATTTCCAAAAATTTAAATTCCTTACGTACATCCATGCATGAATATTGACACACACATAAACATTTTGAATTGGAAGCCATATGTTTCAAATTATATTATAAGCTTTATTAATTTTTTTACTTATTATGAGGACTCACTTTCACTGGTAAGGCAGTAATTTAAGCAGTACTATAAAATTAGTAATTGATTTTGGAAAAGTTTCTCCTTTTTTTGGTGCCATACAATTGAAAGCATGCACTTAAAAGATTCTACTCTGTTAACTGCTTCGTGCAGGAATTTCTTTTTGCCAAAAATAAAATAATTTAAAGGCCAAATTTACCAGCCAACTTGTGATACATAGCCAAACGCCACAAACACTTATTCGCAAGAGTCGTTTCAACTGTATTTGTATTCTATTTCTTGCCAAAACCTCATATGGTTCAATGCTTCGGAGTGTGCACTGGAGTGTAAATTGTACAATAGGCCGTACGCAACAGCCAATTCAAGATTAACACACGGTCCGCCTCAACAGACTTCACGGACTTAATGCGTGTGTACAAAAAGCACGAGGGATATGCATGTTAAGACGTCGCTCGGAGGCAAGACGAGGCAATGTTGACATCTTAACCTGTCAAGCCGTGTCTGTGTATAAAAACAGCCAGTCCATGTTATCACATCCTCCGGCATGAACTGGTTAATGGGGGAAAGGCAGCAATATTTAAGAGGTTGTGGAATGCTAGAAGACATTTCCGTCATTTTTTGGGTATATGTAGCCTAAGGTGTGATGAAATAAAAACGACTATTGTTTCTGTCATGAAATGAGTACAAAGGGTACTTTTGAGAGCTATTTTTCAGGTCCTGTTTCGACCCGAACGTGCAATTTGTGTAAAAGTCGTCGTTGCGGGCAGCAAACAAAACACAGTAAATCGTGACGTAATAAACAGGACTCGTTCATGCTACTCTGCATCGGGAGTCCTGTTTATTACGTCACGATTTACTGTGTTTTGTTTGCTGCCCGCAACGACGGCTTTTACACAAATTGCACGTTCGGGTCGAAACAGGCATGACAGGACTTGAAAAGCAGCTCTCAAAAGTACCTTTTGTACTCATTTTATGACAGAAACAATAGTCGTTTTTATTTCATCACACCTTAGGCTACATATACCCGAAAAATGACGGAAATGTCTTCGAGCATTCCACAACCTCTTTAAGATGTGTATGTTAGTACATGTAATACTGTATTTGGATTGAATTCCTTTTTTTTTTCCCTCCATTGCTTTTCAGGAGCGAGCGGGTCGGCGTTGCGGCGGCCTGCGTGTCCTCAACAGTTACTGGACCTGTGAGGACTCCACTTACAAGTACTTCGAGATCATCATGGTGGACCCGTTCCACAACGCCATCCGACGCAACCCGGACACCCGATGGATATGCAACCCCGTGCACAAACATCGCGAGCTCCGCGGCCTGACGTCAGCCGGTAAGCTGAGTTCAGTAATCTGGTCAAGTTTGAGTCCCGAGTCTCGTGGTACTCAGAGTTCTCAAGATCAAATCATGAAAGTCAAATGCAAGGCCAAAATTGTTACAGACTTGAGTATGAGTCCTGAGTCGGGTCTGAGTCATCTGGTCAAGTTAATGTATGAGTCCTGAGTCTTGTGGTACTCGGAGTTCTCAAGGTCAAATCTGAGTCGGGATAGTCGAGTCCAAGGCCAATAATTGTTGCAGACTTAAGTATGAGTCCTGAGTCGAATCTGAGTCATCTGGTCAAGTTTAAGTCCCAAGTCTTGTGGTTCTCATAGTTCTCAATGTGAAATCTGAGTCAGGATAGTCGAGTCCATGGCCAAAAATTGTTGCAGACTTGAGTCTGAGTCTTAAGTCGAGTCTGAGTCATCTGGGCAAGTTTGAGTCCTGAGTCTCGTAGTAATTAGAGTTCTGAAGGTCAAATCTGAGTCATGATAGTCGAGTCTAAGGCCAGGTGCGAGTCTATGTTCTCAATTCTATGTGAATTGAGTCAATCCCGAGTCACCAAAATTGTGAGTTGTGGCAGACTTGAGTCTGAGTCCTGAGTCGAGTCTTAAGTCATCTGGGCAAGTTTGAGTCCCGAGTCTTGTGGTGGTCAGAGTTTTCAGGGTCAAATCTGAGTCACGAAAGTCGAGTGCAAGGCCAGGTGCGAGTCTATGTTCTCAATTCTATGTGAATTGAGTCAAGCCCGAGTCACCAAAATTGTGAGTTGTGGCAGACTTGAGTCTGAGTCCTAAGTCGAGTCTGAGTCATCTGGGCAAGTTTGAGTCCCGAGTCTTGTGGTGGTCAGAGTTTTCAGGATCAAATCTGAGTCACGAAAGTCGAGTGCAAGGCCAGGTGCGAGTCTATGTTCTCAATTCTATGTGAATTGAGTCAAGCCCGAGTTACCAAAATTGTGAGTTGTGGCAGACTTGAGTCTGAGTCCTAAGTGGAGTTGTTGTAGGAAGTAGCCTGTTCTGAGACACACTTCACGCTGGCATAAAAACAACAATGAAGATCGCACTATTTAGAACATTAGGGCCCGTGACCATTCAGCCCCGGTATGAAAAGGGTCCCCCAGTAAGCTCGTCCCCTCCCAAGAAGTCCTCTCGTACCGTCCCAGGTACCGGCCCAGGAGCTGGTCCGGTTGCTAATCAGGAACTCCTCTATCCTGGGGTCTATTGTTTGCAAGTATTGACACATGTAATATATCCCAGAAGAAACCCGCTTGTGGTTTTCATCTCTCAGCGCGAAACAATAGAACACTTTCGTCAGCACAGATCAAAACCCCTGCCATGCGGTTTCGCGCACAATGGGACCGTAAATACCAAGGCGTTATGGAAGGATTTTATCTTTAATCCGGTAAGTCTGCTATTGTTCTGCTCTGGATGTTCTCTGAAGGGCAATACATTGATGCGCCTGACTGACTTCAAAACTTCTGGTCAGACAGGACCATGTACCGGACGAGACTGGGCTGAAGACCGGACTGGCTTTGGACCGGACGAGGTACCGGGGGGCCCTTTTCACACCAGGGCTGAATGGTCACGGTCCCTTACCAGATCTTTGATGTTGGGATTTGCCCTTTTTCAAAAATCATTAGGTAAATGGAGTTTGAATAAATGGATAATGCAATTATTAATGTTTTGGTTTCCGCTCTTTGTTTTTCAGGCAAGAAGAGCCGTGGTCTGGGCAAGGGCCATCTGTACAAGCAGACGATCGGCGGATCGCGTCGGGCCGCGTGGAAGCGCCGAAACACCCTCTCCCTCAAGCGCTACCGTTAAGCTCTACCAGCAGCACCCAACCACAACACTTGATATTAACACACATCAGTTTCTCGAAGAAATATCTACCAAGAAAAAATTCTTCCAGGTCACTTATCCTTTGCTCCTTGGAATTTGTTTCCTCTGGTTTTGTTCAACAGAACGTTTGGAAGTGTTTTGATGGAAGAAGTCTTTAAGTCGGTTGTGACGCGCGGAAGGGACAGTCTTTGTAAATCTAAAAGGTGAACCAATGAATAAAACATCCAAGAGTAACTAACATGATGGAAGTGTCTTTTCTTTTAGTTTGAAGGTCCCAACCAATGTAATTTTGTTTTTTGTTTTGCCTAAAAAAAATGTTTTGGGAGACGCTAAGTCGCTAACGTACTAGTCCTTAATTCCGCAAGACCAGACTTGTATACCTATAGCCCCGTATGTTAACGTTTTGAAAAAACTGTATGAAATAAACTTCTACGTGTACATGCTTTTAATAGCTGTTCACAAAACTTGGATGCAGTGACCCTTGGGTACGGTGGGACGTGGGAAGTCGCAATTCTTCACCGTATTATGAGGTCATTTAGGGGTCATTAGAGGTCACTGTTAATGAGCAAACTTTTCTAACGGACCTTCGCATTGAGCAAATTTTTGAGTTCACAATTCGAACAGAAAACCCCTTAACTGACTGGTGTCTTTTTGAAATGAAAACACTGCAACAGCACCCTCAGCCTCAGGAAAAGCATGAAAAAAATCCTGTTTGAGAAGTGCACTTTTTAATACAATTAACCAGAGGAATGTCAAAATTTTTTTTTTTTTTTGGGGGGGGGCTCTGGATGCTGTTCAAATAAGCCGAAACTGGACACTTTTGGACAATTGGTGGCGCATTTATTGATGCCTTTGCTGATTAGACTAGTTCCCTGTCCCTCCATTGTCCTTCGGTTTAACTTCATTTTTATTTTCTCCCAAGGTTTTCCTCTAGGGAGCCAATCAGTGATTAAGAAAATTTCAATGGCTCGCCCAACAGTTTAAAACAAACACGTTACTCGGTATATGATCAAGCATCATCGCTTTCCTTGGAAACAAGTCAGCGGTAGAGAAAAGGTTTAATGGTACTAATAACTAATACTGATCTCTAGAAGCAGATGCTACAGTGATCATAGAAGCATAATTATGGAGCCATCTGGTTTGTTCTATTTTAAACGGTCTTTCAATTTACATAAAATGGCCCCGCTTGTATAATGCTACGAAATGACCAAGACGGTTCGAGAAAGTAAAAACCAATGGCGAAATCTGTGCCGGTGAGCTAGTGGGGGAAGGGGGATGACCAAAATCCAAAAATTGCCCGGCCGTGGAAATTCGTAAAGGGGAGGGGGCAACGCCCCATTACTGTAAGGGCAGTCTTCACAATAAAGGTTTACATGTATATCAATATGAATACTCACGCTTACATCAAAATGGTGCATCTTAAAAGTGTTTGTACCTTGTATTTCTACTGTTCAGTGCAATTGAATAAATTTTTGTTGTTGGGATGTGTGAAAAATACCTTAAATTCCGCATATTTTTTCCTCATCACAAAAAGTTGGGAGAGGGATAATTCAAAAGCCAATCCCCCACCCTGGTCAAAAAGTGGGGCGGGGGATATATACCCCCGGCTTTAATTACGCCCCTTTTTAATAAAAAAAATGTAGGGAGGACGCTTTTAACACAGCTCTTCAGCACTGAAGTCTTGGGCCAAGACTAGTCGGGTAAAAGGATGTCGACTTGAGCGACGTCTACAATTACGTTTGCAAAATTGCGCGCGAAGTTGTATTTGTTTAGTATCGATCTGAGTGACGACGTGTTTATTTGGACGGACGTGATCCTTCAAGTGTTCAGCATTTGTGTTACTTCCTAGCCTCCATGGTTTACATCAGTGCACTGTGGAGCCTTCAGAAGTGCAGTATTCTTTAACAGTTGTCGTACTACTAGACTGCAGCTGAGCAGGTTCGGTGTTGTTTTTTGTTCAAACTTTTAGTTTTACTTGTACGGTAGTCATGGTTGGTAGTGCACAACGCACACAATAGCTCCACGCACTACAGTGCAATGACTGGCGATCACATGCACGTGTGATATCATGACGATAGCAGAATGTCAGACAAGTCGACCGTTGAGACAACTCGACTCGGGACAAGTCGACCGTTGAGACAACTCGACCGTTGAGACAGGTCGACCGTTGAGACAACTCGACTCGGGACAACTCAACCGTTGAGACTGCTCGACTTAATGGAAATGAATACACGTGGAGCAGAAAAAGTTGCACAAATCTGTGGCAAGACCGATCACGGGTGCGGCGCGGGCATACTCGATGTACAGAGGGCGTTCGGGCCGGTGCGCCCCGCCCGCCCGCGAGGACCGGCCCGGGCACGGCACGCGGGCACGTCGACCGGCGCGGCAAATGGGCGCACAGGGCTGGCAAAAACGATGTCACCGTGCCCGGTACGGACAAGTTGACCGGCAAATGGGCGCACAGGCCCGGCAAAAACGATGCCACCAAGCACGGTACGGCCACGTTGACCGGGGATGCGCGCACGTGGCCTTGAAAAAAAAACGAACGATGTGCACGGACAATCACGCTGCGCTATATTGGCTCTGTTATATGCAAAAATAAAAACTCATGTGTCATCACTCCCAAACGGCGATCAGCCGCCGTCAAAATCCCCGGTACTATCCCCGAAACTAGGCCCAAAACATGCGAGGCGACTTGTCTCAACGGTCGACTTGTCTTTCCATTTATCGCACATACGGTCGAGCTGTCTCAACGGTCGAGTTGTCCCGAGTCGAGTTGTCTCAACGGTCGAGTTGTCTCAACGGTCGACTTGTCCCGAGTCGAGTTGTCTCAACGGTCGACTTGTCTCAACGGTCGACTTGTCTGACCCCCCGATAGCACATGATGATGTACAGTAGTACAGTGTGTTGTGTATTGTGTATAATTTACCGTGTAGGCCTATGTGATGTACCCTGTGTACATGCAGGACATGGTGCACTATGTACCCGGTTCAACATGTTCAAGGACGGTGTCGTGTGAGTGAACTTTATCCATGTAGGCTACTATATTGTTGATGTACCCTAACGTGGCGCGGCCCCTAACGTGGCGCACTTTGATTTTTCGCCTGTAGCGCCTAGCTAGCGCAAAAGTTTTAACTGAAATTTCACAGAAAGTGAAATTTCATCAAGTTCTAAACACTCCCGTTTATAAATCGCGAGTTTTACCCGTTACAAAGTTAAAAGAAAAAATAATTTTGGCGTGATTTTTCGATTTTATTTTCAAGTGCAAAGTGAACCCTTTGAAAATGCCCCGAAAAATAAAAAAATTATTTTCTGACAAACATCTGGCTGGGTTTGTAAGTTGAGATATTTATCAGAATTTATCAAGTTTACAGAAATTCCTAAATGTTAATTTGGAATTTTCCGAGATTTATTCAAGTGCACCACGTTAGGGAACACTCCACCAATTTGTGCCCAATTTCCGGACGCGACCGTTTTTGCATTTCGGATGAAATTTTATGAAACCGAAATTGTTCACAGAGGTTAAATAGCAAGCATTAAAAAGGTAAAAATACCAGTATTTCACTGCATGAATTTGAGGTTTATCAACAAAGAGATCTGGCAACACTACACAAGGAAAGTTGGGTATAGCTTCGAAGTGCGCCACGTTAGGGAACACAACTATACATGTAGTAACAAACTAGCCCGACTGCATCTGACCGCACAGTACTATCGCAAGCTCTGTAGAACTTGCGATAGTACTGTAGGATTCGTACTGTACGGCCAGATGCAGTCAGGCTAGTAGTAACAAACATGACAAACGAGATCGAGAATACATGGAATGCAGACTCATTTCATGTAGGCTTTGTCATGTCAGTGGTGTTTAGCATAGTTCAATAATTTCAAGGGGTTGCCCAGGTAGGACTCCACCGTTGTGTATTCTCGTCCCTCCATAATCTGCCCAGTATTAAATGCTTGCAAAGCATGTGCATTGTCGATGTCACACACAAATTGAACATGTTGAAGGTGAGTGCGTAGAAATACAACCGAGTAGATTTATGGGTATGATCGACGATGCACAAGTTCACATGACGGAGTGGGTACGAGCACATTTTTTTTCATATTTTATCTGATGGCCGATTGAAGAAACTGAATTGTTTACTTTTCACATGGTACATTTTGTATTTCCTGTTTCTCGAATAACATAGATGCATGGTTTAGAAAAAGTAATGTCCATAGATAAAGTGTTTACCTGAAAATTGCAGATCCATGCTTTTGTTATAATCTTTTCCAGTACAAACTTTGTGCTTTCTATCGCAGTGTAATTCTCTGGGTCAGCTGTACGTTATGGTGTTTTATTTCAAGTGTTCATGGAAGCATTACTTGCCACCAGAAAGTCACTTTCTCGTGCAAAATTTCTCAAAAATGTATTCCTGGCTGACCCACACCTCATTAAAAACAATATTTTTTAGAATCTCAAACCGGCTACATTCTGAGAAATCGGAGTTTTTACTCACAAACATCAATTTTCAGCATGCGAACGTTGCACATACACTTGATATAAACCATCGCTGATCAGCTGATCATTGCTTGCAATACATGTACATACATGTAGTTCCCATCAAATGTATGGGAAAGAATGTTCAACCTGCTGCTTTTTTTCATATATCATCTCAAATGAAGGTCAGTAAATACAAAAATGATGATAAGACATGAATCTGGGACTGATAAACATTTCCAATTTCGTTAGGAAACACTTAGAAAAAATTCTTGACTCGTATCTCCATAGACTTTGTACACAACCGCTGAAGTAGCGTCAGGTTGCAACATTCTTTCCAATGTACATGTACGTGTCCAAATTTCATTTGACACCGGCACACACTGATGTGTAAAGCGCTATCATTGAACAAGAGTGCGACGCAAATTCCAAGCAAGGCGGGAAAAGCTACACCTGATTGGATGTCGGACGAACGTTAAAGGTGACTCATTTACTGCTGCTTTTTGTCGAGACGTTTTTGCCATTTACCATGATATCATGATGTGTTGTTCATTATTTTTCCTTTTGAAAGGCTTGGCTGTCTTAAGTCTGAATGCACTTTTGTGTACATATCTAGCCAGGCATTTAGTTACACCAGTGTTACTTTGTACAGTACATTACTATAAATCATGTCGGTGTATGATAGGAACAGAAAAGTAATGGAGAGGAGTGCTGTGGCCTTGTGGTTAAGGGCACTGGATTCGTGGTATGTGGGTAAAGCTGCAGGTTGTGGGTTCGAGTCCAGCCGGGGTCATGGTGCGTGTGCCCTTGAGCAAGGCACTTTGTCACTCATTGCTTCTCTCCACCCCGGAGTAAATGGGTACCTGTGAGGGCAAAGATGGTTATTGTGATTGAATAAGCTTGCTTGCGCCTAACAGGCAGCATCCAGCTGTATACTAATAATAATATTATTGTAAGCGCTGTGATTTAATTTACTAATAACAGCGTTCTTAAATGCCGATTATTATTATTAATGGCAAAAATTTACAATTTTAGGGTAAATTGTCACTATTTTGCTCTGTATGATTTCACACAGGCAACTCGAAGAGTCTGAATCAGACAAGATGGCGGACTGCAAGCCAAGCCAGCATCATGGCCAAGGAGAGTCCTACTTCTACCTTTGAGGAGATCTGCCTCAGTAAGAAGTGTTACGTCTGCGACATCTGCAGCAAATCCTTTTCACAAAAATCTAACCTCAAGCGACACCAGACAGCCCATTCTGATGACAGACTGTTTAAGTGCGCCCGATGTGAGCAGTCTTTCAGATTTGGGTTCCTCCTCAAGTGACACGAGAAACTTCACACAAATGGAGCATTAAGATGCGACATCTGTGGACAATCTTACAAATGTAAGCAAAACCTCAAGCGGCACCAGGTGTTCCACAATGATACGCCTGCGACACATGCAGAAAATCGTTCCTGCGGAATGATTACCTTAAGTGACAAGATGAACCACACGGGCGACAAACCGTTTAGATGTGACATCTGTGGACGATCTTTCAAGACTAAACACAACCTTAAACAACACCAAATTACCCATGCAAATGAGAAACCATACACATGTGACATCTGCAGCAAGTCCTTTTCAAAAAATTCTAACCTCAAGCGACACCAGAAGACCCACTCTGATGACAGACCGTTTAAGTGCGACCAGTGTGAGCTGTCTTTCAGATTTGGGTTCCTCCTCAAGCGACACGAGAAACTTCACACGAACAGCACAGCATTAAGATGCGACATCTGTGGACAATCTTACAAATGTACACAAAACCTCAAGCGGCACCAGATGATCCACAACAAGGAGAAACCGTACGCGTGCGACACATGTGGAAAAGCGTTCGTGCGGAATGATTACCTCCAGCGACACAAGATGAACCACACGGGCGACAAACCGTTCAGATGTGACATCTGTGGACGATCTTTCATGTTTACACACAGACTTAAAAAACACCAAATTACCCACACAAATGAGAAACCATACGCATGCGACATCTGCGGAAAATCTTTCGCGCGGAAGTCAACCTTCCAGCAGCACAAGAATTGCACCCACTCGGATGAGAAACTGTTCACTTGCGACATCTGTGGACAATCTTACAAATTTAAGGCGAACCTCATGCGACACCAGAGGACCCATGTAAATGCTAAACCGTATGCATGCGACCTGTGCGGGAAATCGTATGCGAAGAATCAAAGCCTCAAGCGACACAAGATGACCCACACGGATAGCAAACATCAGATGACTTATACCAATGAGAAACAGAACGTATGCGACATCTGTGGAAAATCATTTGTGCGAAATGATATACTCAAGCGACATGCAAAGGTCCATACAGACGACAAACCATTCAGCTGCGACATCTGTGGGCAATCGTACAAATTTAAACAAAGTGTCAAATATCACCTAATGACCCACGCAAATTTGAAACCATACGCATGCAACATCTGCGGGAAATCATTTGTGCAAAATGAAGCCCTCAAGCGACATGCGAAGGTCCACACGGATGAAAAACCATTCAGATGTGACATCTGTGGACAATCCTACAAATTTAAACAAAGTGTCAAATATCACCTAATGACCCACGCAAATTTGAAACCATACGCATGCAACATCTGCGGGAAATCGTTCACGACGAAAGGCCACCTAAAAAATCTTGAGAAGTACCACTCAGATGACAAACCGTTCAGGTGTGATATATGTGGCCTGGCCTTCAAACATTTGGGTAACATGAATCAACACAAAAAGACCCACACAAAGCGAATTAAACCAAAACCAAGATTTGCTTGTGACGTCTGTGCAAAAACTTTCACCCAGCGTGCTAACCTTGCAAAACATGAGAAGATTCACACCAATGAAAAATCCTTCATCTGTGACTTCTGTGGCAAAGCATTCATCCAGAAGTTCAACCTCATGCGACACAGGTCAACACATGAAACTAATAAACAGTACATGTGCGACATCTGTGGAAAGTTGTTTGGTTGCAGTGCCTACCTTAAAAGGCACCGGAAAAACCACACCAAAGACAAGAGGGAGAGAGTATTCGCTTGCTGCTTCTGTGAGAAAGGGTTCAAGGAGAAAAGCAAGCTTCAGCAACATGAGAGGATCCACACCAATGAGAAACCATTCACATGTGACACTTGTGGCAAATCTTTCACATGGAACTCGAGCCTGAGAAAACATCTTAGGATCCACACCAGGTAAAAGCCACACATATAGTGATATAGTCACTATATCACCAGTGATATCCTGGAGGATTTCAAGTATAATCTCGGCCTAAATTTACGCACGACTGAGCGTAAACAACACAAAGTCTGGCCTAATTAATTACGTTGACACAGTGCATCCTTAATGTTTGCCATGTAGCCTCAATCCTGCAATATCCTCCGTTTTGCAAAGAGGATTTTTGAGAATTTGGGAAGGTTATTGTTAACTAGCTTACAAGTGTATTTTATATAGGAAAGGTTGGTACTAGTGTAGTGTGAAATTTGGATTGTATGTAATGTGTGGATAGCGGTCTCATTCGCTGTATTGCGCAGGCCCCAGTGAAGATAACTTTAACACTGACAGGTCACGTATTAAGGTTAGAGTCCAATTCTTAAAGATAAAATGACCAGAATTCATTGGAGCTCAGATTGCATGACACCGGCGCACGCTGGTTTTCAAAGCGCCGTCATTGGACAGGCGTAAAGTACATTGATTAGTAACTGTGAACATTGCACGCAATTTGCGTACTCTGGTGGCGTTTTCAGATTGTCAATTTTGAAGAAATCGTCTAAATTATTACTCTTTAATTATCAATGTTACTTTTGAATTTTTAATGATCATTCCTGTATAACGATTCATTCTACTGAATGCAATTCTCATCGTTTTCCTTACTCTATGATTCTACGAACTTATGAATGTACATGTACATTAACTTGCTTTTGCTGCAATTTTCAGAAATACATTGCAAATGGATTTGGCGGATGAGTGTGTTATAACAATTCCTCAAAATAAACCAGAAGATCCACGGCGTCAATAGGGGAGTGTGTACATGTGTACATGAATTTGCTGAGGCCTTTGCCTTCTACTGTGACTATAGAGCAAGGACCCAAGGAGTTCGTACTCCAAGACTTCAAAAGTAAAATGATGGTCGCCGCGCTCGAAAGCTACAATAGAAAGCACCTGGCGGCCAGCTTGCTCAGTTGCTCACTACGCTAATCTCGACACAATAGAGATCCGCGCTCACTAATGCCAGAAAAAGGAGATTACATGGCTTCGTAGACAGTACCATGGTAAATACGCATGCGCAGTTGTCATACATCGCTAAAAATGAATGATTTTGAAGTGTTTGTTCGCAGTTGGATGATACTGTATATAAATGTGGTCAACATCACTGGAACAATCATTTCATGAAGAACAAAATGCTCTGTACCTTTAGTGTGAAAACTTGTGAAATTTTGATATGCGCATTACGTAAATGCAATGCCTCGCACATTGTTGTAGCATACGACGATCGATGACGGTGCGGCGCACTAGAACCATCATAACGTCATGCAGTGCCTGTGTTGCGTTCTCTATTCTCGCCATGATAATCACCTGTGCAAACGACCACATTAACTCAGTTGCATTTGGCGTCACTCTGTGTGCTGTGAATGTGAGAAGACTTGGGTGAAGTGGCCTGTGTATTGTCAACTTGTCCTGAATTGTTGAAGGCTACACAGACCTATACCACCTTCCAGTGTAATTCTGCTTAGTGACGATATTGGATTGGTAAGATATCAGTATTTATTAAAGTATCTTTCATGAAACCATTCAGAATTCGATCCTGATTGCTGAAAGAGAAGTTACTTTAAAAACAACGAGAGTTATTTCGGTCGTTGATACGTAAGTTGCATTAGGCAAAGTTCCTCAATTCATGAGCTTACAGCAGGCGTCAGCAGTGGTATAAGAAAGAATATACATGTAGTAACCCTAAATAAAGCGTTACCTTTAGATAACAGGGTGAAGGGGACAAACCTGTGTTCACAGGTTCGGAATGCCATATGCATCTCTCTTTCGAAGCGATTTGGCCACGCTCAATAATCCTGCTGCTGTGGGGGATCGCCAAACCTCCTCCACAGCGGGTCTGTATTCAGATTTTGGTGCAGGTCCTTGCTCTACTATTCTAAGCCTTATCAGAGATGCCACTTTTCAGGTTTTAAACTGAATTCATTTTTTTTTATACAGTCATGTAGCTTAGAATTTCTTCATGTATTGTACCGCGCTAGGTATTAAACCACAAGATCGAAAAAAGTTGTACACACTCCGTACCGCTGGGGTGTATGGAGTACTACCGTACTCCGTAATTGCATTATTGATCGCCACTCTTAGTTTACCATTGTTCCCTTTGTTAGAGTACCCCATGGGGTAGCTCTATAGTGAGATCATTGTGGTATACCCTGTGTGTACCCATTGCATTGGTAAATCCTATAGTGACACGCTATAATTTATGAGGTTAAACGTCTCAAAATTTCGAGATGTGCCTATATAATTATCTCCGCCAAGCTCCAAAATTGGCACGCCTCATCGGACAGCGAGGACTATACCATGTAATGCTTAAGGGGTGACACATTGACTGCCTCAACTCCATTGGTGGGTGGGCATTCCTTCACTATAAACCGATGCAAATTTTCTTTCAGTTTAGGCCTATGCGCTGGTTCTTTCTGTACGCTTTTACACCTACATTTTGTAATTTTAGAATGTGTTTTGGAGGTATTGACTGTGTGTTGACGTGTGACGGTACCATACCATCATGTGTTTAAAGCGTGTTTTAAACATTTTGATCTCCATAACGGAGAACAAGCCTTATCGCAAATATCCCGGTAATTTTGGCCCATAGTTACCTAAAAGCTAGCCCCATAAATGTGGCCAATTTACTGGACTTCCTCCATAAACATAGGCATACATCCACCATACACTCAAACTACTCGAACATGTTTGCAAAGTTATTTCCACATTCCGACTTCAGACCCAGTTCATTTAGGCTATGCTTTGAAAATACACTCACCCTCTTAATAACAAACTCAGAACATGCTTCCAGTGTCAGTTGCCCAGCTGCTGCGTAATTTACGATACTTTCTGGAGGCTTCTTGGCAACTTTTTGGTCCAACTGAACAATGACCTCACGCAATACCTGACGGGTACGAAACAATATGCAGGGATCGTTCACCTGTCAATCACGCGTGGACGTTTGTAATTTTATGAAATTCGAAACTGAATAATAAATTGAATACTACATATACAGTTTCTACATTTATTCTTGAATTGTCCTAGAATAAAGGACAAGTCAATGTAGATTTCGAAATTGTCCGAAGGGCGTGCCCCTACCCTCCCCCTGCCTCCGCTGAAGTTATACCACCCCAGTTTCCCGACACTATCCGCGACTGGACACTGAAGGCAAATGGTGCATATATCAATGTTAGATTTTGCAAACTGGTAATTTGTCACATTTTTTGCTCCGTATGATTTTGTACACAGGCAACTTGCAGAGTCTGACGCGACATCTGCGCAAAGGTTTGTGCGCAGCCTCAAACTGTATAATAATGACTCACGACAAAAAGTACACATGCGACATCTGTGGGAAGTCGTTCACGCAAAGTGGAAGCCTCAAGCCACACAAGATGACCCACGCCGGGGAGAAACCATACACATGTGACATCTGCAGCAAGTCCTTTTCAAAAAATTCTAACCTCAAGCGACACCAGAAGACCCACTCTGATGACAGACCGTTTAAGTGCGACCAGTGTGAGCTGTCTTTCAGATTTGGGTTCCTCCTCAAGCGACACGAGAAACTTCACACGAACAGCACAGCATTAAGATGCGACATCTGTGGACAATCTTACAAATGTACACAAAACCTCGAGCGGCACCAGATGATCCATAACAAGGAGAAACCGTACGCGTGCGACACATGTGGAAAAGCGTTCCTGCGGAACCATTACCTCAAGCGACACAAGATGAACCACACGGGCGACAAACCGTTTAGATGTGACATCTGTGGACGATCTTTCAAGACTACACACAACCTTAAACAACACCAAATTACCCATGCAGATGAGAAACCATACACATGCGACATCTGCCGCAAGTCCTTTTCAAAAAAATCTAACCTCAAGCGACACCAGAAGACCCACTCTGATGACAGACCGTTTAAGTGCGACCAGTGTGAGCTGTCTTTCAGATTTGGGTTCCTCCTGAAGCGACACGAGAAACTTCACACGAACAGCACAGCATTAAGATGCGACATCTGTGGACAATCTTACAAATGTACACAAAACCTCAAGCGGCACCAGATGATCCACAACAAGGAGAAACCGTACCCGTGCGACACATGTGGAAAATCGTTCGTGCGGAATGATTACCTCCAGAGACACAAGATGAACCACACGGGCGACAAACCATTCAGATGTGACATCTGTGGATGGTCTTTCAAGACCACACACAACCTTAAACAACACCAAATTACCCATGCAAATGAGAAACCATTCACATGCGACATCTGCAGCAAGTCCTTTTCAAAAAAATCTAACCTCAAGCGACACCAGAAGACCCACTCTGATGACATACAGTTTAAGTACGACCAGTGTGAGCTGTCTTCTAGATTTGGGTTCCTCCTCAAGCGACACGAGAAACTTCACACGAACAGCACAGCATTAAGATGCGACATCTGTGGACAATCTTTCAAATGTACACAAAACCTCAAGCGGCACCAGATGATCCACAACAAGGAGAAACCGTACGCGTGCGACACATGTGGAAAATCGTTTGTGCGGAATGATTACCTCCAGCGACACAAGATGAACCACACGGGCGACAAACCGTTCAGATGTGACATCTGTGGACGATCTTTCATGTTTACACACAGACTTAAAAAACACCAAATTACCCACACAAATGAGAAACCATACACATGCGACATCTGCGGAAAATCTTTCGCGTGGAAGGCCACCTTCCAGCAGCACAAGAATTGCACCCACTCGGATGAGAAACTGTTCACTTGCGACATCTGTGGACAATCTTACAAATTTAAGGCGAACCTCACGCGACACCAGAGGACCCATGTAAATGCGAAACCGTATGCATGCGACCTGTGCGGGAAATCGTATGCGAAGAATCAAAGCCTCAAGCGACACAAGATGACCCACACAGATAGCAAACATCAGATGACTTATACCAATGAGAAACAGAACGTATGCGACATCTGTGGAAAATCATTTGTGCGAAATGATATCCTCAAGCGACATGCAAAGGTCCATACAGACGACAAACCATTCAGCTGCGACATCTGTGGGCAATCGTACAAATTTAAACAAAGCATCCAATATCACCTAAAGACCCATGCAAAGTACAAACCATACGCATATTGCAGCATCTGTGGTAAATCATTTGTGCAAAATGAAGCCCTCAAGCGACATGCGAAGGTCCACACGGATGAAAAACCATTCAGATGTGACATCTGTGGAAAGTTGTTTGGTTGCAGTGCCTACCTTAAAAAGCACCGGAAAAACCACACCAAAGACAAAAGGGAGAGAGTATTCGCTTGCTGCTTCTGTGAGAAAGGGTTCAAGGAGAAAAGCAAGCTTCACCAACATGAGAGGATCCACACCAATGAGAAACCATTCACATGTGACACTTGTGGCAAATCTTTCACATGGAACTCGAGCCTGAGAAAACATCTTGGGATCCACACCAGGTAAAAGCCACACATATAGCGATATAGTCACTATATTACCAGTGATATCCTGGAGGATTTCAAGTGTAATCTCGGCCTAAATGTACGCACGACTGAGCGTAAACAACACAAAGTCTGGCCTAATTAATTACCTTGACACAGTGCATCCTTATTGTTTGCCATGTAGCCTCAATCCTGCAATATCCTCCGTTTTGCAAAGAGGATTTTTGAGAATTTGGGAAGGTTATTGTTAACTAGCTTACAAGTGTATTTTATATAGGAAAGATTGGTGCTAGTGTAGTGTGAAATTTGGATTGTATGGAATGCGTAGATAGCGGTCTCATTCGCTGTATTGCGCAGGCCCGAGTGAAGATAATTTAAACACTGACACATCACGTATTAGGGATGAGTCCAATTAAGGGGTTAAATTGCCAGAATTTATAGGAGTTCAAATTGCATGACACCGGCGCACACCAATTTTCAAATCGCTGCCATTGGACAGGATTGTGACACAGGTGTAAAGTACATTGATTAGTAACTGTGAACATTTCACGTAATTTGCGTACTCTTGTAGCATTTTGAGATTGTCAATTTTTAAATATGAATTCATCATAATAAATTTCAGTTAATTTCATTTACATGTTTTACTCTTTAATTATCAATGTTCTTTTCATTCCAGTATAACTATGAATTCAACTGTGAATGTGTGGCAGGGCCCAGTTTTAGTCGTATGTTTTCATAATGTATAGTGTATTAAATAGGATTAGCCCCCCTTAGAAAACAAAGAAATCATTTTAGTTACTCAAGATTCCCCCCCTTTTTAGTAGTGTGACCCCCTGTTTGTTTACTTAAGCCCACATGTCCCCCCCCCCTATATAAGCTGCCACATGGTCAAGCCACTTTAGTTCACCCAGCAGATCAGCAGAGACAAGTCACATGCATATATTTTCCTCCTAACTGGAGTGCCTGTCCTGCTTAGTTTTGTCTGCTTGTTGGAGTCATTGATATCATGGGCTCTGTCTGAACGCACTCTAAGGCAATCCGCTATTGGCACTGTGTTGGGTTTTTTTCCCGTCTTCTTTATTTTTTTTGGGTTGGGTTTATTTACTTTTCATTTCCAATTACTTTTTGTTTCCAATATGATTTTTTTTCCAAATTTATTAATTTCTGGTTTTGTTTTCCCAAAAGGTTTTTTTTTGGGTCACATTTCAAGGTTTTTTTTGTTGTGAATGTCAAACTCGCAGTTAATCCTGGATTAAATTGTTTTTTTTTTGTAAAGTTCCATCCCAATTCAGTCTGTCTCTTTCTTTTTTTAAATTTGTCCCAGTTTTCTATTAAATTTTTCGCGACTTATCAATTTGAACCAGGCATTTACATATATTTTCTTTAGTGAACCGTTTTTCTTCGTTACAAATGCATTACTCATCGTTCTTGTATACACCATACACCCATAGGGTGCCTGTGCAATGTGTATGCCTAGTAACTGCCCACACACAAGTCACTGGTCAGTTTATCAATACAACCAAGTTACTTGATCATTGTTTTAAGGTACTATTACTCATTCACTCATTCATATTCATACTTCTGAGAATCAAGGAAACCAAGCATGGGCGTTGCAAAGGGGGGGGGGGCAAGGGGGCGCTTGCCCCCCCCCCCCGAAGGCAAATAAAAAAAAGGGAAAAAAGAAGAAGAGGAGCAAAGTCATATTGGTGTCAATTTAATGGGGGGGGGACAAAATGTCCCTGCCACCCTCTAGAACTGGTAAATCGAGAATATGTTGAGAAATACAAGATTTTTTTTTGCCCCCCCTTTAGAAAAAATCCTGGCTACGCCCATGAAACCAAGACATGACTAAGTACATGTATTCCCATTCTTAAGTTTTTCTTATTCCAGAGACATCCTGTTTTCCACCGAAAGTACTGCTCCATGAGCAGTTCCTCATTCTATTCTTTTCATTCAACCCGTTCATTCAATTTAAGCTACTCACTCAGTTCAACTCATTCTGTTCATTCGATTTAAACTTCGTCTCGGTTTGCTTTAACCAGTTTAGTTTATCAATGCATATTAAGATACTGTTTTGGAATAAACGGTCACGGTAAACACAATCCTCAACCAAAGAATTGTGTATCGACTTATCCATTCCCCAACACTCTATTGGCCATTTACGTCTACTTTAACCCTATCCTGAATCCGCCAAAATCCACATAATTATTGTGTCATGCATAAACTTCTGGTGTTGGTGACTGCTCATAATTATGGAGATATCCTGAAACCTGAATCCATCAAAATCCTAGAGTACCACTAGGCTAATACAATCCTGAATCCATCAAAGTCCCCTTGTTTTCAATAAACTGATATATTCTACGAACTGATTAATCCCCTTGAAAAGAAATGTACAACATTTGCCTTTGTTGTAATTTTCAGAAATAAATGGATTTGGAGGATTAGTATGTGAAAGGCCTATACCAGTTCCTCAAAATGAACCAGAAGATCCACGGCATCAATTAGAGTGTGAACATTTGTATTTGCTTTAAGGCTTCTGCTGTGGCAAAGGGGGCGCGTAAGTTTTGATAGGCGCATTACACAATGTACATGTTCATGTAATGCCTCGCACATTGTTGTAGCGTACAATCGATAACAGTGCGGCGCACTGAACCATCATTATGTCATGCAGATATGTAGCGCGTGTGTTGCGTTCTCTATTCTCGCCATAATCAACTGTGCACGCAAAGGACAACATTAACTCAGTGGCGCGGCATTTGGCGTCACTCTCTGTAAACGTGTGAGAAGACTTACTTCGAGTGGCCCGTATCATTACGTCAACTTGTCCTGCATTTTTGGAGGCTACACCATAGACGAGGATATACAGACCATATCACTTCCTGTGTCATTCTACTTAGTGACGATAATATTGGTAAGAAATAAAATTCATAAAGTATCTTGAATGTTAACATTCAGATCTCAATCCGGATTGTTGGAAGAGAAGTTACTTTAAAAGATCGAGTCAGAGTCATTTCCTCCACAGCGGGGCTGTTGTCAGATTTTGGTGCTGGTCATACTAGACCTATTCTAAGCCTTATCAGAGATGCCAAAAAACTGAATTCATTTGTTTGTTTTTTCAAAAAAATGTGTCATTAAAAGTGCTGGATTTGGTCCAAAACATCCATAAAACACATTTTTGAAAGGGGGCAAGGGTGGTTTCAATTTTTTTGGTAGTGTTTCAGGTGTTTTTTTTTTTATGTACACGCATTGGTGGCATCTCTGCCTTATACAGTCATGTAGCTCGGAATTTGTTCATGCATTGTACCGCGCTAGGTATTAAACCACAGGATCGAACAAAGTTGTACACACTCCTTACCGCTGGGGTGTATGGAGTACTACCGTACTCCGTAATTGCATTATTGACCGCCACTCTTAGTTTACCATTGTTCCCTTTGTTAGAGTACCCCATGGGGTAGCTCTATAGTGAGATCATTGTGGTATACCCTGTGTGTACCCATTGCATTGGTAAATCCTATAGTGACACGCTATAATTTATGAGGTAAACATCTCAAAATTTTGAGAAGTTGTACCTATATAATTATCTCCGCCAAGCTCCAAAATTGGCACGCCTCATCGGACAGCGAGGACTATACCATGTAATGCTTAAGGGGTGACACATTGACTGCCTCAATTCCATTGGTGCGTGGGCATTCCTTCACTATAAACCGATGGAAATTTTCTTTCAGTTTAGGCCTATGCGCTGGTTCTTTCTGTACGCTTCTACACCTACATTTTGTAATTTTAGAATGTGTTTTGGAGGTATTGACTGTGTGTTGACGTGTGACGGTACCATACCATCATGTGTTTAAAGCGTGTTTTAAACATTTTGATCTCCATAACGGAGAACAAGCCTTATCGCAAATATCACTTTAGTAATTTTGGCCCATAGTTACCTAAAAGCTAGCCCCATAAATGTGGCCAATTTACTGGACTACCTCCATAAACATAGGCATACATCCACCATACACTAAAACTACTCGAACATGTTTGCAAAGTTATTTCCACATTCCGACTTCAGACCCAGTTCATTTATGCTTTGAAAATACACTCGCCCTCTTAATAACAAACTCAGAACATGCTTGCAGTGTAAGTTGCCCAGCTGCTGCGTAATCTACGATACTTTCTGGAGGCTTCTTGGCAACTTTTTTGGTCCAACTGAACAATGACCTCACGCAATACCTGACGGGGTACGAAACAATATGCAGGGATCGTTCACCTGTCAATCACGCGTGGACGTTTGTAGTTTTATGAAATTCGAAACAGAATAATAAATTGAATGCTACATATACAGTTTCTACATTTATTCTTGAATTGTCCTAGAATAAAGGACAAGTCAATGTAGATTTCGAAATTGTCCGAAGGGCGTGCCCCTACCCTCCCCCTGCCGCCGCTGAAGTTATACCACCCCAGTTTCCCGACACTATCCGCGACTGGACACTGAAGGCAAATGGTGCATATATCAATGTTAGATTTTGCAAACTGGTAATTTGTCACATTTTTTGCTCCGTATGATTTTGTACACAGGCAACTTGCAGAGTCTGACGCGACATCTGCGCAAAGGTTTGTGCGCAGCCTCAAACTGTATAATAATGACTCACGACAAAAAGTACACATGCGACATCTGCGGGAAGTCGTTCACGCAAAGTGGAAGCCTCAAGCCACACAAGATGACCCACACCGGGGAGAAACCGTACACATGCGACATCTGCGGGAAGTCGTTCACGAGAAGTGAACACCTCAAGCTACACAAGATGACCCACACCGGGGAGAAACCGTACACATGCGACATCTGTGGAAAATCGTTCACGCAAAGTAGACACCTGAAGACACACAAGAAGATTCACACCGGTGAGAAACCGTACACATGCGACATCTGCGGGAAGTCGTTCACGCAAAGTGGAAACCTCAAGCCACACATCTTGACCCACACCGGGGAGAAACCGTACACATGCGACTTCTGCGGGAAAGCGTTCAGTCAAAATGGATACCTTAAGATTCACAAGAGAACCCACACCGGCGAGAAACCGTACACATGCGACATCTGCGGGAAATCGTTCAAAGGAAACCTTAAGCAACATATTCTGTTGGTCCACGGCCACGCAAATGAGAAACCGTACACATGCGACATTTGCGGAAAATCAATTATGCGGTATAAGAACTTCAAAGTACACCAAATGAATCACGCTAATGAGAAACCGTACGCATGCGACATCTGTGGGAAATCGTACGCGAACAATGGACATCTCACGCGACACAAGAGGACCCACACCAATGAAAGACCGTACGTGTGCAACATCTGCGGGAGAGCGTTTGCGCAGAAGGGAAGTCTTAAACAACACAAGGTTACCCACACTAATGAAAAACCGTACGCATGCGACATCTGCGGGAAAGCGTTCACGCATAATGCAATCCTTAAACAACACATGGTGACCCACACCAATAAAAAACCGTACACATGCGACATCTGCGGGATGTCGTTTGCGCGGAATGGAGTCATCAAGCAACATAAGATGACCCACTCAAACGAGAAGCCATACGCATGCGACATCTGCGGGAAATCGTTCACGATCAGTGGAAACCTCAAGCGACACAAGATGACCCACACGGATGACAAACCGTTCAAATGTGACATCTGTGGTAAACGTTACAAATGTATGTCTCACCTTAAGCGACACGAGATGACCCGGCACAACCATGAGAAAGCGTACGCATGCGACATCTGTGGGAAATCGTTTGTGTGCGAAAACTACCTCAAAAGCCACCAGAAGATCCACGACGACAAAAGGGAGAGACCGTTTGCTTGTGACTTCTGTGACCAACGGTTCGACGTAAAACACCAGCTTCGACAGCATCGTAGGATCCACACCAATGAGAAACCTTACGTGTGCGACATTTGTGGCAAATCTTTTGCGTGGAAGTCGAGCATAAACAGGCATCGTAGGATCCACGCCACAGAAAAACCAGTCGAATGACAATACATGGATCGTTTACCTATCCTTCACTACTTCCCTCCTCCCATTGTCTTATTAGTTTTAAGAAATTACTTAAAGATATAGTCCATCATTTTAATTTGTGCATTTTGGTCGTTTTAGGCAACAAACATTCTCAAAATCTAAAGAAGGGTGCTGAACAACTAAGCTGATGAAGTTTCAGCTCAGCTTCAGCTGTATTTTTCGAGAAAAACAACATTTTAGGATCTCGATTTCAAATCAAAAGTTGCAGAATCACGTTTTGAATTGGGCATGAATTCAGCGTCCGAGACACGTTTGCACTGAGCCGAATGCAGCTACGTGATGTCGCGCACTGATCCAACGAATTATAGAGGGTGCGTGTCAACGCTTGCGCGCGCGTCGCCGTATAAAAAACCGAACTACTAACGGAAATATCCAACGGTGCTTCTTAAGACGCACCGTTGGAAAACCTTCTTTCGTTGATTTCTTACAAATGACAGCATACCAGAAAGAATAATTTCACAGGGAGTTTAGTCCCTTTGCTATCTTTCAACCAAGTATGTTTTTTTCAACAATAATTATGTCAGTCACTTTTTGGGTAGCTGCAAATGATGGACTATAGCTTTAACACTCATCTTTTTAACTGCAATTGAACACAAGTCTACAGTTATTGATTATTTGAGTTCTCATTTTAAGTGTTACATGTAGTTGCTTTTGTCCATGCATTTACTGTGAATAACAGTGGGGGGGGGGGGGGTGGTTGTTAACGTACAAAATGAAGGTTTTACAGTATTTTAATGGTATTTCATCCATGTGCGGTACTGCAGTATTTAACAGTTTACAGTATTTTACAGGTTTTTTTTAACGGTTAATCATCCAGACAACAGCTGGTCCGGATTAAGTTTTTAACCAAGTTGGGTTTCACTATGGGATAATTTTTGTCTTATTTTTTCTCGCCTTAAGCGCTTTGAGGAATATTTGATTCATTTTGCGCTATATAAATGTTGTTTTATATTACATTGTGTTAGTAAATATTAAAAGATCATACAATAGCTGTCTGATGTCTGTGTGTCACGGAAGTAGCGGTCACTCAACCGGAAGTTTGAGGTCACACGTCGTCACCGACACCACGAAGTAACACCCACCTACATACCAGTAAAAACTAGCAATCGGAGAAAACGGCAACTAAAGTTGAACGCCTTCTAAAACAACACTTTGCGTCAAAACGACAGAGTATTTTCAGTTGGGCTTCTCGTTGTGGACACTTGATGAATTGAATTTATTAAATCTGCTGTTTTTCACTCGTTTGTGTATTAAATAAACAAGAAATAAAAGAAAAAAGATGAGTGTTAGTTCGTGAAACCGAAAAAGCTGCGAAACTGTAAATTTTCGTTTTCACGAAGTAACACTCTGCAATGTATTTAACACGAGGAAAGTGCAACTTCAGGTCAGCGCGCGCGCGCTCATAAAACTTGTTACAAGAAGAGTGTTACTTTGTGAAAACGTTTTTGCTCACTTATGAGCAGAGTGCGCGCCGTGCATTGCAATGGAAAATGGAACTTGAGTGTTACTTCGTGAAAACGAAAATTGTCACTTTTGCGCAAAAGTTGCCATGGATACTTAGCGTAATTATTAAAGTAAAGCTCTTGAAGCTTTGAAACTTCGTGCAATGGTAGGCCTTGATGAATAATGTTTAAAAATCCAAAAAACTGAAAATCGAAAAAAATATGCTTTAACACGGTAGAGTGTTACTTCGTGGTGTCGGTGACGACGTGATATCTGATGTATCTTGCTACATTAAGTGCTGAAATGGTATATGCCCCAAGTTGACCGCCTCTGTTCTCAGAAAAACAATCTGATGCTAACGCGCATTCGGCTTATTTCATGCCGTTGCGTCGCCGAATTGTGGCGGCAATACAAGATGAGTAAAAAAAACCCTGAAACTCAAATGTCGGGACCATTCTTTTACTGAAGTTCTGCGTGGAGCACTTTCAAAATCTAGGATATGGAAGCCTAATTCATAAGCTTTCTTTTAGTACAAGTATCGTTCAAATCACCCATGTACATGTACTTTTCAAAATCGGAATTTTAAACACAACCACCGTGTAGAAGTTCTGTCCGCGGATCACAAAAAGGTGTGCGTTCTTTCAGAAAAACGGCAACAATTCTCACACACCCCTATGTTATTTGTTTCCGTTTTGCTGAAAGTTATATGTTGCCACCAGTTTTTGCGTTGAGTTTGAGTTGTTTCAAACCCACCTGTTATACGGGATTTTTTTTAAGTAACAAGCTCAGTTGGAAATTATTGTATGATTTTCAACGAATTTAAACTTAAGTGTTGAAAAGTGTTTGGTTGTACAATATCGAAATTAGGTTTGGATTCTATTTTAGTAAATCTGTCCTATTCTCGCAACGGGAGCCGCCTTGAGCCAAGTCTATACGTACTGCACATGCGCAGTACGCTTGTTGATTTGAGAGGGGCATTACACAATGCTATGCCTCTCGCATTGTTGTAAGCATTAACGTCAGATAACAGTGCGGCGCATGCATGGGCTGGAACCAGTATTACGTCATGCAGTGCGTGTGTTGCGTTCATTCTCGCCATAATCACCTTTGCAAACATTCATTCAGTTGCATTCGGCGTCACTCTCTGCTCATGTGTGTGCATGTATATACCAAAGATCTTAAGGCGCAAGATGGGGAACTCCATAGAAATTGCGAAATCGCCATGGGCGCCATTCGAGCAAGCAAACCATTGTGCAAGCCATTGTTTTGCACTATGGTTTGCTTACTCGAAGCAAACCACTGTGCAAACAATGGTTGATACGTTTAACCTCATAATATAGAGCATTTCATAGGATTTTATGTAATGGGTACATTCATGGTATACGGACGATGGGTATACGCAATGATCTCACTAGAGCCATCTAAAGCCCGGTTCATACTTCACGCGAATGCGAAAGCGAAGCGAATTTGACGTCATAAAACATTCGCTGTGAAATTCGCCCGAGTTGAAAGATGTTTTACTTTTACGAATTCGCAGCGCGAATACTTGCCACGACGTCACAAATTCGCGTTCGCTTTCGCGCAGAGTATGAACCGGGCTTTACACTGACAAAGGGAACAATGGTAAACCAAGAGTGGCGATCAATATTGCAATTACGGAGTACGGCAGTACATGTACATGTACTCCATAAACCCCAACCTTAAGGGGGGTGCACAACTTTTATAAATCATGTGACTAAATACATAGCGCTTTACAATACATGAATAAGTTCTGAGCAGCATACACATTGTAATAGGAACACGGCACCAAAATCCGATTCACAGCAGCAGCATTATTGAGCGTGGCCGAATCGCTTCGAATGCATATGGCATTCCGAACCTGTGAACACAGGTTCGTCCCTTACCCAAATTTTTATCGAAAAGTATTGAGGGTTACTATCCTTTCTAATGATAAAACAGCTGACGTACGCCTGTTATAAGCTCATGAATCAAGGAACTTTTCCTTATGCAATTTACGTATCCACATCCGTGAGGCGGGTCCGGCCGAAATGACTCTCGCTGTTTTATAAACTGGTAACTTCTATTTCAACAATCAGGGTACTGAATGGTATCATTACAGATACTTTATGAATTTTGATGTTTTACCACTCCAATGTCGTCACTAAGCAGAATGACACAGGAAGCGGTATATTTCTGTTTCTTGCTCTATGGTGAAGCCTTCACAAGTTCAGGACAAGTTGACACAATGATTCGGACCACTCCACGTATGTCTTCTTACACGTTCACAGAGAGTATATACCAAAGATCTTCAAGCGCCGAAGGCGCAAGATGGGGATGATGATACCATATTATGATGATACCATATTATGCCTAACGGTTGATGCATTAACAACTGCATCAACTCCATCGGCGCGTGGGCATTCCTTCACTATGGAAATTGACTTTCAGTTTATGCTCTGGGCCTTGCTCTAGATATGCTCATATCTGGAGGTATTGACTGTGTTGACTGTACCATACCACCATGTGTTGAAAGCGTGTTTTAAAACTTTTGATCTCCATAACAGAGAACAATTGTTAAGCCTTATCGCAAATATCTGTTAACTGATTTGGGATCATAGCTACCTAGCGGTGTAGGATAGAAAATGGGCCATTTATCTATAGCTGTGCCGTTTCACTCCCCACATACATTTTTGTGTTATCCATTGTGCAAATTAACTCGGGGAGTATTTATAAAGATAAGGTTTTTGACGGTGTGCTGACGGTTATTGGAACAAATACCCCTTGTTGGAGAACTCAGACCGTGCATGATAATACGTGTACAACAGTAAACATAAAAGTCATGTGGGCATTTACAAAATACACTTCGTGGTATATTTTCACAATTTTGCTCTGTATGATTTTACACAGGCAACTTGAAGAGTCTGACGCGACATCTGCAGAAATCTTACATTTTGTGTTCAGCCTCAACTTATTCATAATGCCCTCTACCAGTGAGATACCGTACGCGTGCGACATCTGCGGAAAATCGTATGTGCAGAAGAGAGGCCTCAGGTTACACAAGATGACCCACACCGGCGAGAAACCGTACGCATGCGACATCTGCGGAAAATCGTTCACGCAAAGTAACCACATCAAGCCACACAAGAGGATCCACACGGGCGAGAAACCGTACACATGCGACATCTGCGGGAGAGCCTTCGCGCAAAATGGAAGCCTCGTGCTGCACAAGAGGACCCACACCAATGACAAACCGTACGCATGCGACATTTGCGGAAAATCTTTTGCAGCGCCTGGAACCCTTACCAAACACACGAGGACCCACACCGGCGAGAAGCCGTACGAATGCGACTTCTGCGGGAAATCGTTCTCGGAAAGCGGAAGCCTCAAGCTGCACAAGAGGATCCACACTAATGAGAAACCGCACACATGCGACATCTGTGGACACTCGTTCTCGCAAATTGGAAACCTCAAGAAACACCAGAGGACGCACAACAGTGACAAATTGTTCGCATGCGACATTTGCGGGGAATCATTCACGGAGAGAGTAATTCTACGGCAACACAAGAAGACTCACACTAGCGAGAAACCGTACACATGCGACATCTGTGGCAAATCGGTCGCACTGAACGGAAACCTTAAATTGCACAAACTGACTCACACCAATGAGAAACCGTACGCATGCGACACCTGCGGAAAATCCTTCGCGCGGAATGGACACCTCAATCGACACAAGAAGACCCATACCAATGAGAAACCGTACGCATGTGACGTATGTGGGAAATCGTTCTCGCAGAAAGCGAGCCTCAAACTGCACCAGATGACCCACAATGAAAAATCGTTCAGATGCGACATCTGCGGAAGACAGCTCTCAAGGAAAGCGACGCTTAGGCAACACCTGTTGACCCACACCAATGAGAAACCGTACGCATGTGACATCTGCGGAAAATCATTCTTGTGGAGTTTATGCCTCAAGCTTCACAAAGCGACCCACAGCGACGAGAAACCGTACACATGCGACATCTGCGGAAAATCGTTTCCGTATAACCAAAGCCTCAAGGAACACAAGAAGACCCACACGGATGACAAACCGCTCGGATGCGACATCTGCGGGAAGTCTTACAAGTTTGCGCATAGCCTCAAAATGCACAGAATGACACACACAGGTGAGAAACCGTACGCGTGCGACATCTGCGAGAAAACGTTCGCGCAGAATTCAGGCCTGAGGCTACACAAAAAGACCCACACCAACGATAAACCCTACGTATGCGACAACTGTGGGAAAGCGTTTATGCACGTAGGAAGCCTCAAGAAACACCAGATAACCCACACCAATGAGAAACCGTACGCATGTGACATCTGCGGAAAATCGTTCGCGCGGAATCCATACCTTAAGCTACACAAGATGACCCACACCGGCGAGAAACCGCACACGTGTGTCATCTGCGGGAAATCATTTGCAAATAAAGGACACCTGAATCGACACAAAATGACCCACACAGATGACAAGCCGTGCAGATGTGACATCTGTGGACAATCTTACAAATATACGGATCAGTTGAACCGGCACGCGATGACCCACACCAATGAGAACCCGTACGCATGCGACATCTGTGGGAAATCGTTCGTGTGCGAAGACTACCTCAAAATGCACCAGAAGATCCACGACGACAATAGGGAGAGACCGTTTACTTGTAGCTTCTGTGGCAAAGGGTTTACGGACAAAATCAAGGTTCGGCGGCATGAGAGGATCCACACCAATGAGAAACCGTTCACATGTGACATTTGTGGCAAATCGTATAGGTGGAGCTCGAGCCTTCAAAAGCATTTCAAAGCTACAGACCATCATTTGCAGCCATCCTAACTGTAACTGACGTCATAACAATGTAATTCGCCTTGAAAATCATACTTGATTAAAGATCGTAACGGGACTAAAATTCCTGTGAAGTGATTCTTTCTGGCAAGCTGTCATTTGGAAGAAAACAGTGAAACAAAACGATTTCCACCGGTGCGTCTAAAGGCGCATTTCTGGAAATTTCCGTTTAGTACATTGTTTACATACATGTAGTTCGTTTTTAATTCCTCGAAATGTGCACAAGCGGTGACACATTGTATATACATTGTATATACAATGTACATACATTGTATATACAATGTATATACACTGTACATTGTAAATGATATTAGTTGCTCACATTTTTGTAGTTTTACATTTAATATTTTGTAGCATAGGATGAAACTAACTAATTTCTTGAGAGTGAGGCATGTGAGGGTGTCCTGAATACATTGTACAGTCGAACACCTTTATAACAAGGTCCTTGGGTTTTTATGAATAATAGCATTGGAAAACATACAAAAACAAAGACATGGGACCTGAAATTTTGCTTGTTATAAACAGGGTCTTGTACAGTCGACTCTCGTTAGTACAAACTCTGTTGATACAAAATTCTGGTTATAACAACCATAAAGCCCGAGTCCCAACTGTGCATTTATATGCACAATGAATGGCACTGATGTTCCTCTAAATCCTCTTAATACACAATTCTGATATTACAAACAGTTTGTGCTACCTTTTTCAGATGTTTAATTTTTGTGAAATTTCATGTTGAAATTTTGATACGCAAACGTGTGCAAATGATCTGGAAATTTCACGAAAAATGGACATCTGAAAAAGGCAGCACTTTCTGATTAGCCTATAAAGAGGGTGAGAATGCTTCTAAAGCAAAAAAAATCTACAAAGTAAGCCTAAATGTGAAAATCAAAATTTGGCAAAGTCGACACGTTTTTTGTACATGTGGATGTGTGGCCTATGTTTACGGAGGCAGTCCAGTAAATAGGCCACATTTATGGGGCTACGCTCAATGATGCTGCTGCTGTGGGGGATCGCCAAACCTCCTCCACAGCGAGGCTGTTGTCAGATTTTGGTGCTTTGCCTTGTATTCTAAGCCTTATCAGAGATGCTACTTTTCAGGTTTAAACCCGAATTCAGTTGTTCTTTTTTTCTCCAAAAATGTGACATCAAAAGTGCTGGATTTGGTCTGAAACATCCAGACACAGTATATTTGAAATGGATTAAGAGTGTTTTCAGACTTTTTTGGTAGTGTTTCAGGCGTTTTATATTGGTGGCATCTGTGCCTTACATATACATGTAGCTCAGAACTTGTTCATGTATTGTAAAGCGCTATGTATTAAGTCACACGGTGAATAAACGTGGTGCACATTCCTTAGGTTGGAGTTTATGGAGTACTGCCGTACTCCGTAATTGCATTATTGATCGCCTTCTTAGTTCTCTTTGTTAGAGTGCCCCACGAGGTAGCTATAAAGCAAAGATCTTATAGCGCCGAAGGCGCAAGATGGGGAACTCCATAGAAATAGTGAAACCGTCATAGACGCCATTCCAGTAAGCAACCATTGTGAAAACTATTGTTTGCACAATGGTTTGCTTCGAGTAAGCAAACCATTGTGCAATCAATGGCTTGCACAATGGTTTGCTTGCTCGAATGGCGCCCATGGCGATTTCGCAATTTCTACGGAGTTCCCCATCTTGCGCCTTCGGCGCTATAAGATCTTTGCTATAAAGTGAGATCATTGTGTATATCACCTACGTACACCCTGTGCACCCATTACATTATTTTGTAGTTGAAGTGACATGGTAGATTTATGAGGTTAAACGTCTCAAAATGGGCATCGTGCACGAGACGGCCATGTTGAATTGAAAGCGAGGTAAAATCTTCATTTTGGGAACTTTCGAAGAGAAATGAAAGCAAGTAAATTCCTAATTAAATCAAGTCTGCTTCAATGAATAATTTGTAATTAACCATTCCCTAATGTTTCAAGCCAGATTAAAAAACAAATTGACAATAAAATAAGGCTGCATAAATAGTCTGGCGCCATCCCATGCAACAGTTAACAATTTATGAAATATATTCAGGGAACTTGACAAAAATGGCCACCTCGTGCATACGGGTACACACCGGTAAATCGATCCGCCAAGCTCATGAATAAAAGTTATACCCTCAAAATATTCTATATTAGAGAGTTCTGAGCGCCGTAAAATTGGGGAATTGAAGAGATATGGTAGTGAACCTCTGGCCCGGACTTGGGGCTTCCAATTCTGAGCATTTTGGATGCTATTGGGCTCGAAAGTGGCGCTATTTTGTCATGTTGTGGAGGGATCGTTTTTCAAGATGGCTACTTTTCCGCTTTGGGGAAAATAGGGGTCGTCTTCTTTGCGTGAAAATATCTCGAAAAGTCAATGGTCAACCCACCATAAATTGAAAAGAAATTGAAAGATGACACATTGATCATCATTTTTCTGTGCAGCTTGAATACCTGTGAGAGTTTTGAGTATTTTTAAAAGAATTTTGAAGTACGGGCATTTAGCACTAGTGTCTATGGGAGTTTATTTGCAGGTATGCACCCATACGGCCTGTTGCAGTTTTCGAGAAGGCGTGCCTATCTCCCGGTGGAGCGCCAAAATTGGCAGCCATGTTGACTTCAGTATCGGGCAGCGAGGACGATACCATAATATGCTTCAGGGGTGATACATTACAACTGCCTCGACTCCGTCGGCGCGTGGGCATACCTCAAATTCATTATAAAAGCGATGGACCTTTTCTTTCAGTTTATGCGCTGGTCCTTGCTCTTTGCTTTTACACCTACATTTTGTAAAATAAGAATGTGCTTTGAGGTATTTACAGTTTGTTACGAAAGCCCTGTAGTGCCATCAAGTATATATTTCGCCAAGTTCGTTTTTATGAGTTATATATTTCGCCAAGTTCGTTTTTATGAGTTATATTTTTCGCCAAGTTCGTTTTTATGAGTTATATATTTCGCCAAGTTCGTTTTTATGAGATACATTTTGTCGAAGTTCGTTTTTATGAGATACATTTTGTCGAAGTTCGTTTTTATGAGTTACATTTTCTCGAAGTTCGTTTTTATGAGTTACATTTTCTCGAAGTTCGTTTTTATGAGATACATTTTGTCGAAGTTCGTTTTTATGAGATATATTTTACGGAGTTACGGAGTTTTATGAAGTTACGGAGCCCCTAAAGGGACATCCAAAATTATTTTCTTATCTCGTGCGCACGACATAATATCTCGTGCGCACGAGATAATTATCACAGGCGCACGACATATATGACGTGCGCACGACATAATATCTCGTGCGCACGACATAATATCTCGTGCGCACGAGATAATTATCACGTCCGCACGACATATATCTCGTGCGCACGAGATAATTATAAGTATTAACGGAGCTTGCTGCACTTGCAGCGGACGAGTTTGTGTGTAACGAAAGCAGCGTGTCTGGTAGCTGCCCCTAAAGGAACATCCAAAATTATGTTTTTATCTCGTGCGCACGAGATATTATGTCGTGCGCACGTGATATATCGTCGTCGTTTATACGAACCGGCAATATAGGCAAATTGCATGAATTTTTCGATTTTCTAATTTTTACATATTACTAACTTACTTATTAAAATCTACCTTCACGTGAAATTTCAACTCTGAAAACGCGCTAGATTCTAAGATACAAACAATCTTGAAAATATCTTGTGACCGAAATATAGTCAAAGCGTTGAAACTCGGTCTGTACGAAGTGACAAAACAATACGCGGTCAGTTCGTAAAACCCGCCCATACAATGATTCCTGTCGGGAGCGCGCTGAACGCGCTTGCCCCGAACCGACGCAGTTCAATGCTATGTAACGAAGCTGTATTAGGGAAATAGTGAGAAAAAACATTATCTCTCCCATGGCCGTAGGCAGGATTTTTTTCGAGAGGGGGCAAAGCAAATTTGCTCAGGCTCCCCATATTAAACCCTGTACTTTTTCATCATATTCTTTCGAAGGAGGCAGCGACAATACATGTATATTTGCCACCCCCCTTAAATTAACAGCAATATAACTTCGCGCTTCTTTTTCTTTTCTTTTTTCCTTCATAAAATTGTTTCTCTTTTTTTTTGGCTTTTCGAGGGGGTTCCCATTCACTCTCCCTTCAGCTAACTCATATGTACGACTTGAAAGCTGTACGTACAACTTATGTCTCGTACGTACGACTTATAGTTATGTCTTACGGTGTCATACGTACAACTGTACGTACGACTAACTTGTACATACGACTAACAAGTCGTACCATGCAACTTAAATATCGTATGTATGCCTTGAAAATCATGCGTACGACATATAAGTCGTACATACGACATATTAATTGTAACGTGTACGACTTATATCTCGTCGCACGACATATACTCGTAGGCACGACATATAAGTCATACGTACGGCTTATGAATTGTAATATGTACGACTTGAAAGCTGTACGTACAACTTATATCTCGTACGTACGACTTATAATTATGTCTTACGGTGTCATACGTACAACTGTACGTACGACTAACTTGTACATACGACTAACAAGTCGTACCATGCAACTTAAATATCGTACGTATGCCTTGAAAATCATGCGTACGACATATAAGTCGTACATACGACATATTAATTGTAACGTGTACGACTTATATCTCGTCGCACGACATATACTTGTAGGCACGACATATAAGTCATACGTACGGCTTATGAATTGTAATATGTACGACTTGAAAGCTGTACGTACAACTTATATCTCGTACGTACGACTTATAATTATGTCTTACGGTGTCATACGTACAACTGTACGTACGACTAACTTGTACATACGACTAACAAGTCGTACCATGCAACTTGAATATCGTACGTATGCCTTGAAAATCATGCGTACGACATATAAGTCGTACATACGACATATTAATTGTAACGTGTACGACTTATATCTCGTCGCACGACATATACTTGTAGGCACGACATATAAGTCATACGTACGACTTATGAATTGTAATTCGTGTACGTACGACTTATCTCATACGTACGACTTATATATCGAACAAACGCCTTGGGAATCATAACTCGTACGTATGCCTTATAACTCATACGTACGACTAATAATTCGTATATGTACGTCTTGTATACATGTAACATGTAAATATGCATCATCTCGTACAACTTATGAATTATAACTCATACTTTCGTACCTACGACTTATATCTTCTATGTATGTATGACATATACGTACGTCTTATAACTCGTATGTACGACTCATAACTCGTGCGTATGCCTTATAATTTGTAAATACGACTTAATCTCGTAGGTACGACTTATGAATTGCCACGCGTACATACCATGTATATGGCGCACATACGACTTAGATCTCATATCTCATACGTAGGACTTAAAATTCATAAGTAGCATGTAAGTATCTCCTACGTATGTACGACTCATAACTCGTACGGATGCCTTATAATTTGTAAATACAACTTAGTCTCGTACATACGACTTATGAATTGTAACTCGCATACAACTTATATGTCGTACATACGACTTATATCTTGTACGTACGTACAACTTATATATATCTCGTATGTATGATCGACTCTTAACTCGTACCTTCGCCTACTTATAACTCGTAAATACAACGTAATCTCGTACGTACGACTTATGAATTGTATGAACGTACATACGACTCGTATGTCGTACTTAC